TACTCCTCAATGTTTTTAAAGATGAAAGTAGCGTGTCCTCTATCGACTTTCTATGTAATGACTTTTCAAATAAATTTCAAAATCACTGCATAATTTATTAATGTGTGTGTTAAGTATAAGATTTGAATTCAAGTCCGCTGCAGACTGATGAAAATACAGATCTATATTTCGTTTCGTTTTTTTTTTTATACTTCCTATGGCCTCTACTGCATCAAGATCTGGCCAGTTGTAGTGGGAGGTCGCGTCAGGGGTCATACAAGTGGCTTTTGACCCTATGATGTCAGACATTTGATTAACCAATCAGCATTGATGTTTCTAGTGGGTTACCCACAGTTCCGTTGAACTCATGCCAAAAACTCACCTTAACAGGCCGTTTCATTGGCTAATCCCTCACATCATCCAGAAAGTGGATTATATAACAACTCTTCCAGATCCTAGTGTAGTAAAGACAAGTAAAAGAAAATTTTGAACTATAAAAAACGAACTGAAATAGGATCTGTGTTATAATAAGATTAAATCTGCTGTATCTCATAATCTTCCTATTTATATACGTCAACTGATCACTAGACTGAATGTCCAAAAATATAGTTGAAATGAATACATTTATAACAAACAGTTGGCAGATTATTAGCATATATATCAGACCATAACTTCGTGGATTATGACCCCTGATTGTTTGAAAAATAAGGTTTTTGGCTTGTGGAAACTGTAGAGGTCACAATTTTCATCTGATTTTGATGAAACTTGAAATGCATGTTTATAACTCAAAGATCTTGGTTCCTTTCGATATTTGCGCATATCGGATCGTAATGTCCTGAATTATTGCCCCTGATTGTGTGAAAAATCGTGTTTTTCGCTTGTAGTCCCTCAGAAGTCACAATTATTATCCGATTTATAAAAAAACATTTAAATATATCGCCATTACTCTGTAATGACACTTGAGTTCGAATTTCGTGAATATAGAACCAAAACTGCCGGACAAAATGGCGGATATTCGTATGCATATAGTGTAAATATATGGTATCAAGGTTGTGGACCCTCAAGAAGTCACAATTTTGATCCGATTTTGATGAAACTTGAAATATGTCTTTATAACCCAAAGATTTTGGTTCCTGTAGCGCATATCGGATCCTAACTTCCTGAATTATGGGCCTTGATTGGACAAAAATCGCCTTTTATACGCCCCCGTCTGTCTGTCGGTCCGTCCGTCTGTTGTCCACAATTTCTTGTGAACACTCTAACGCCAAAAGTCATGATCCAATTGTTTTAAAATTGATATATGTTGTTGACATTAGTGAAATGAAGAAGCCCATTTAATTTCAATGATTTCCGTTTATTATGTCTAGAGTTAATGCCCTTGTTTCACTTTGTTGGACCTTGTGAACGCTCTAACGCCAAAAGTTATCATCTGATCTTTGTGAAGTTTATATGCATTATTTAAATTAGTGAAACGAAGAAGCAAATTGAATTTCAGCCATTTCAGTTTATTACATCTAGAGTTATGGCCCTTGTTTCACTTTATTGAACCTTGTGAACGCCAAAAGTTATCATCCGATCTTTGTGAAATTTATATGCATTATTTGAATTAGTGAAACGAAGAAGTCTATTGAATTTCAGCAATTTCCCTTAATTATTTCTAGAGTTATGGCCCTTGTTTCACTTTGTTGCAGCTTGTGAATGCTATAACATCTAAAGTTAACTGCCTATCTGTATGAAATTTATATTAGTAAAAATAAGAATCCTGTTGAATTTCAGCAATTTCCGTTTATTACTTCTAGAGTTATGGCCCTTGTTTCACTTTGTTGCACTTTGTGAACGCTCTAACATCAAAAGTTATCTGCTGATCTGTATGAAATTTATATGCTTCATTTAAATTAGTAAAAAGAAGAATCCTATTGAATTTCAGCAACTTCTGTTTATTATGTCTAGATTTATGGCCCTTGTTTCACTTTGTTGCACCTTGTGAACGCTCTAACATCAAAAGTTATCTGCTGATCTGTATGAAATTTATATGTTTCATTTAAATTAGTAAAAAGAAGAATCCTATTAAATTTCATCAATTTCTGTTTATTATTTATTATGTCTAGAGTTATGGCCCTTGTTTCACTTCGATGAACACTCTTAACGCCAAAGGTTATCATCTGATCTGTATGAAATTTATATGCATCATTTCGATTAGAGAAACCACAAAGCCTATTGAATTTCAGCAATTTACAATTATTACTTCTAGAGTTATGGCCCTTGTTTAACTTTGTTGAACCTTGTTAATGCTCGATTGATAGAAGTTATCATCCGATATGTATGAAATTTATATGCATCATTTAAATTGGTGAAACAGGGGTCTATTGAATTTCAGCAATTTCCGTCAATTATTTCTAGAATTATGGCCTTTGTTTTACTTTGTGAACCTTTTGAACGTTCGAATGACAAAAGTTATCATCCGATCTGTATGAAATTTATATGCATTATTTAAATTAGTAAAACGAAAAAGCCTGTCAAATTTCAAAATTTTCTGTAAATTACTTCTAGAGTACTAGTTAAGGTCTTTGTTTCCGTTTGTAGAACCTTGTGAACCCTCAAACGACAAAAATTATAATCTGATCTGTATGATATTGTCTTGTAAATGCCTCAAATTACCTACAAAAGAATAAATATGCGTCAACCCTTGTTGACCGCTCGGACGAATTAGCTGCTGTGGGCGTATGTTTCTTTGTTTAGCTTGTTCTTTATCCATCTCTTGCAAAATGTGGGTGTGTCCTGCCTGGCAGCGGCTGGTTCAAATTGCTGTCGGGCTGTCAGGCAGCAAAAATTTGATCAGTTCCAACTAAAATATATTATTGTAAGCAACTATACCCTTTAAAGATTTGGATTAAATCGATGGTGGTTAACGGCTTTCAATTATTTGTTCATGCTGTCCTGTGAACTGACGGTCACAAAATTCATTAAAGCATATAATACTAATGCAGTGATCATTGTATAGGATTAGGCGGGTTATCATTGTTTGTTTGTTCGTGGGACTTTACATCCGCTTCCACCTTGGGTGGTATCGCAGACAATTGGATTATCATCGCGGTAATCCATTAAATACCTTGGACAGAGTAAACTCTGCGTGCACAGATTAGTCAACGGAAAATAGACACTGATTCGCAGAGGTGAAGGATTAATCTGTCTGTGAGGGGCAATCTGCGCTCAACATTAATAAACATTTCGAGAAGCGCATGGAAACAACTATCAACCAGTATCATCTTTAAGTCTATATTTTCAATACCAGATTTATAAACTGAAATGAAAAATAGCTGCCATGAAATAGGTTTTAATTTTGCTTTTGGCTTCATTTATACGTTTTGAAAAAGTGAGCAGAATGGTTTGATTTATAAGATTTGAATGTAAATTGAATCGTATTCAATCAAAATTACAATTTGAATTCAACCAGTGTTTAAATTTTTAAATGCCCACATTTTCATGTGGACGTATATTGTCGTCGCCCCTGTCCGTCCAACCACAATTATTTGTGGACACTCTACAGGTCACAATTTTTATTTGATTTTGAAGAAACTTGAAATATAGGTTTATATCCCTAAGATCTCGGTTCCTTTCGATATTAGCATGTATCGGACTGTAACTTCATGGATTATGGCCCCTGATTGTACGAAAAGTCACGTTTTTAGCTTGTGGACCCTATAGAGGTCACAATTTTTATCCGATTTTGTCGAAACTTGAAATATAAGTTTATAACCCAAAGATCTTGGTTTCTTTCGATATTCGCACATATCGGACCGTAACTTCCAGAATTATGGTCCCTGATTGTACGGAAAAACATGTTTTTATTTTGTGGACCCTATAGAGGTTATAATTTTTATCCGATTTCTAAATCCGTTTGAAAATATTACCGTTACACCCAAAAGATGGTTGAATTCGAATTTTGTAAAAATCGGACCAAAACTGACAGACAAAATGGCCGCCCCTCGTACTCAAATAGCGTAAAAATATGATATATCTAGAGGTCACAATTTTCTTCTGATTTTGATGAAACTTGAAATGTAAGTTTATAACCCAAAGATCTTGGTTCATCTCGATATTCGCGCATATCGAATCCTAACTTCCTGAATTATGGCCCCTGATTTTTCGAAAAATCACGTTTTTAGCTTGAGGTGCTTCCAGAGGTCACAATTATTATCAGATTTAAAAAAACGTTTGTATATATCACCTTTACACCCTAAGGATGGTTGAGTTTGAATTTTGTAAAAATCGAACCAAAACTGACAGACAAAATGGCCGCCCCTCTTACTAAAATAGAGTAAAAATATGGTATATCAATGTTGTGGACCCTCTAGAGGTGACAATTTTCTTCTGATTTTGATGAAACTTGAAATGTAAGTTAATAACCCAAAGATCTTGGTTCCTTTCGATATTCGCGCATATCAGATTGTAACTTCCCGAATTATGGCCCCTTATTGTACGAAAAATCGCGTTTTTAGTTTGTGATCCCTCTAGATGTCACAATTACTATCCGATTTAAAAAAAACTTTTGAATATATCATTGTTACACCGTAGTTTTGATCGAGTTTGGATTTTAAAAACCGTTTAAATATAAAACCATTCCACCATAATGAATGTTGAATTCGAATTTCGAAAATCGAAATGAAACTGCCCGACAAAATGTCCGCTCTTTGTACGCAAATCATGTAAAATTATGCGATACGAAGGTTGTGTACCCTCTAGAGGTCACAATTTTTATACGATTTTGATGAAACTTAAAACATATCTTTATATCCCAAAGATCTCAGTCTCTTTTGATATTTGCGCATTTCAGACCATAACTGGATTATTGCCCCTGATTGTACAAAAAATCCTGTTTGTTTTTAGATTGTTCTCTATCCATCTCTTGCAAAATGTGGGCGTATCCTGCCTGGCAGTCATTGGTTTACCTTGTGAGTATGTGAAGTGTCAAATTGATCTTGGAAATTACTGTAGTTTAAGTGGGCTTATTTAAATTTCAGACTTGTAGTAGAAGGTTAGCAGTGCTAGGAGAAAGGCTAGAAACAAAATGCCATCTACAAAGAAAAAAGTGGTTGTCACTGGTAATTTTCTTAACTTTTAATTAGCTATTCTATCGGTTAATATATATGTTATGTGTCCGACAGGTTAATAGTAAGTACAGGGGGACTGCACCACACACAAACAAATATACAGGACAAATCTACGGACAACACACAATATACAGACATCACAAACAACAAACATAGCCTACATATCAGATCAAGTGAATGGATCCGGGTGCTAGACGCAAAATGAAAAACGAACTAACAATAAGGGAATATTTCCTAAACGTTATATAATACTAGTCTGAGTTATGATCGGCTATTTGCTACATGAAATGTAAATGTAGGCACATTGAACTTGAAGGAAAAAACCTTTACAAGTAAACATTTACGTGAAATTTAGTAAAAAGTCAAGTAAAAATTAAATGGCCTATGTAGCAGTCAAAAAAAATAGGGATCAAAACGTTATAAGCATGCTAATTACAAAGGCCTTTGTATCAATTACAAAGTTATGGCAGAAAGAGCGAAAAATCAAAACTGAATAAAAGAAGCAATCAGAGAAAATGTGACTGGCATAGATGGCGGTTGTCTGCTGAATGACATTACGTAAAGGCGGTAGTTTGCCACTTGACGTCATAAATTAAAATTTAGTTATACCAACTATTAAAAGTAAAAGGCTGATAATGCAGATAAGTTAGAGAATGTGAGGATTGATGATTAAAATTATTAATAAGAAAGTTGAATACCATAATATATTTTGTACCAAATTTTAGGTCAATTGTTTTTGGATAAAATAACTTTGTTACAATAATTAATTGCCAATTGGGTAGCATGCAGCCCTTAGTATGATAATGCATTAATTATAATATGTGTGTGTGTGCTGAATTTAATTCATAAATGATATATTCATACCGGTAGTCATACTCTTGTCAGGTCATGTTATCATAAACTAACCTTATTAATACATTTGCAGGACAGAGGGCCTGACAAGGACAGCTGTCTAGTTGTTCGGATGGGACGAAAACCTGAGGTCCCGTGTACACATTGGTGTGCACGTAAAAGATCCCTTGACAGTTGGAAATCGATATAAGAGTAGGCCATAGTGCCGCTGTCCGGGCAAAATTTCTCTCATAGCACACTGTATGGTGTATGCCCCTCTTCATTAGCCCAGTTCAGAGCAGAACAGTAAGGCGTTAAACCCCATTTCATTTAATAATACATTTTATTTTGGTAAAGAATATGCATTAAAGATGCATTATGTAAAGTTTACATAAAGAGCTGGCTGTTCTTACTATAACAGTTCCAAATAGATAATGCGAAATGAATATATTGAAAATTTCATTAAAACTACTTTATTCTGAGTGAAGTTATCGATGTTTGAAGTTTATTATCATAGCATCAGTAATTATTGAGACTCTGTCTTGATTCACCTTTTTTTAATTAAATCATTAAATTGCAATTGTGTTTTAATCCACTTAAATCTTTGCCATCCGAAGAGAGAGAGAGAGAGAGCGCATCCACTTGACGCAAACAAAGTCATTTTCAGGACTAACATATGGTTCAATTTTATTTCAATAATTCGCTGGTGCGTAGGGGTCTTTAACAGTTGGGGAAACCGGAGGACACAGAGAAAACCCATGAGATGGGACATGTGACCCTACTCCTTATTACGTACAAACGTGGAATTGAAACCACACCACTCGACTCAATGACAGACCTTATGATGCAATGTGCACGCATTAACCATTCAATCAACCAACTAACCTCCCCGTTAGGGGCCTTTAACATTTGGGGAAACCGGAGGACAGAGAGAAAACCCACGAGATGGGACATGCGACCCTACTCCTTATCACGTACAAGCGTGGAATCGAAACCACACCACTTGACTCAATGACAGACCTTATGATGCAACGCGCACGCATTAACCATACATTCAAACTTGAAATATAGGTCTATCTCCCAAAGCTCTTGGTTCCTTTCGATATTGGCATGTATCGGACCATAACATCATGGATTATAGCCCCTGATTGTACGAAAAATCATGTTTTTAGCTTGTGGACACTCTAGACGAGGTCACAATTTTCATCTGATTTTAATGAAACTTGAAATGCGTGTTTATAACCAAAAGATCTTGGTTCCTTTCGATATTCGCGCATGTTGGATCTTAACTTCCTGAATTATGGCCCCTGATTGTACGAAAAATCACGTTTTTATCTTGTGGCCCCTCTACAAGTCACAATTATTATCCAATTTAACAAAACGTTCGAATATATTACCGTTACACGGTAATGTCGGTTGAGTTTGAATTTCGTGAATATCGGACCAAAACTATCGGGCAAAATAGGTCTATCTCCCAAAGATCTCGGTTCCTTTCGATATTGGCATGTATCAGACCATAACATCATGGATTATAGCCCCTGATCGTACGAAAAATCATGTTTTAGCTTGTGGACACTCTAGAGGTCACAATTTTCATCTGATTTTGATGAAAGTTTATAACCCAAAGAACTTGGTTCCTTTCAATATTCATGCATTTTGGATGGTAACTTCCTGAATTATGGACCCTGATTGTACGAAAAATTACGAAAAATTACGCTTTTAGCTTGTGGTCCCTCTACAAGTCACAATTATTATCCGATTTAACAAAACGTTTGAATATATTACTGTTACACGGTAATGTCGGTTGAGTTCAAATTTCGTAAATATCGGACCAAAACTATCGGACAAAATGGCCACCCCTTGCATGCAAATAGTGTAAAAATATGGTATATCAAGGTTGTGGACTCTTTTGAGGTCACAATTTTGATCTGATTTTGATGAAACTTTATATAGATGTACATATTTATAACCCAAAGATCTTGGTTCCTGTCAATATTCGTTTATATCGGATTATAACTTCCTGAATTATGGCCCTTGATTGTACGAAAAATTACGTTTTTAGCTTGTGGTCCCTCTAGAGGTCACAATTATTATCCAATTTATAAAAACGTTCGAAGATATCACTGTTACACCGTAATGTCGGTTGAGTTTGAAATTTGTGAGTATCGGACCAAAACTATGGGACAAAATGGCCGCCCCTCATACGTGAATAGTGTAAAAATATGGTATATCAAGGCTGTAGACACTTTTGAGGTCACAATTTTGATCTGATTTTGATGAATCTTAAAATACATGTTTATAACCCAAAGATCTTGGTTCCTGTCAATATTCGCACATATCGAATTATAGCTCCCTGAATTATGACCCTTGATTGTACGAAAAATCACGTTTTTAGCTTGTGGTCCCCCTAGAGGTCACAATTTTTATCTGATTTAAAAAAACGTTTGGATATATCACCGTTACACTCTAATGATGGTTGAGTTTAAATTTTGTGTAAATTGAACCAAAACTGACGGACAAAATGGCTGCTTCTCATACGTAAATATAGTATATCAATATACAGATCACAATTCTATGGAATATAATTACTGCTTATTACTGAGCGACATTTCGACTAGGCTTCTCTAGTCATTATCAAGCACTTGTTGACTGCCCCGACGACTTAGCTACTGTGGGCATGTTTCGTTGCCTGGCAACCTATCTTATAAAATTCTGTTGGTATCTAGTTGAAATCCCCATACACAGCACCAAATAACCAGCTCAGCTATAGTTTATAGAGCTATGGACCTGAATATTTCAGCCTTTATTCTTTATATGCAGTTTATTGATAAAAACTGAATATTGAAGAAGAAATTATTCTATTTTCAGGATTTGGTCCATTTAGTGGTCATAGGGTAAATGCTAGTTGGGTTTCTGTACAAGAATTAGCTAGATTAGGATTAACAAATGATATAGATCTTATAATCAGTGAAATACCTGTTGAATATTGTACTGTTAAAACAATAATACCTTCATTATGGAAACAACATAATCCAGATGTATGTATATATATATTTCTTATGTTAGAGAGGTCAAGCAGCTTATTACGAGACAGAAAACAACAATGTCATCAACATAAGATTACAAAAACATCAAATCTATAAGCTTTTTACATACATTAAAATTCATGTTTATGACAACTCTTGAGGTTTATATAGTAAGAGAGTAAGTATAAGCTCTATTTAAAGGAGGCATTGTTTTATGCGTTAGTTTCCCCGTTGCCATCTGCTTTGCCTGCAGAACATATACAAGGCAATAGTAATGCACCACTACATAAATAATAGAAAGTTATAACAGTATATTATGATACAAAGCATTTGACTGTTATAAGTATGAGAAATGCCCTTTTACACATTACTCGTATATGTGTTGCTTAACCTCTCTTTTTATTGCTACCTCATTGCTAATTTCTTCTCTTGATCCAGTCAAATAAAAGAATACTTCATAGATAACTCAATAAAAACATTTTACACATGAAATTATATCGTGCTGCATGTTTTAGAAATTTTATTATACGAAAAGATCTTTTGATCTCAGGTTCTAAAAAAAAAATTAAATAAAGTTGCAATTTAAGGACAATAAGAAATTATCTTGAAAAATGCATCTCAGCTTTTCTGCAGACTTGTTATTACCACAATTTTAATTGGCTGCTCCTCAAGTTTTCAATAACTTTATATTGGCTTAATTTGAATCCGTCATGTTTATATCTGACAGCTGATAGTGCATGTAGGTGTATCATCTATAGCTATGGAACTTACATTAGAACAACAAGCACACAATGATGGTTATGATAAACATGATATATCTGGTAGCTGTCCACCAACACAATGTTGTGTAGAAGGAGCTGATACTTGTATTAAATCAGATATTGATATGCAACATGTCTGTAACGAAGTCAATAATATGCCAATTAAAATCAAAACAATTGTATCCAACGATGCAGGAAGGTAGGCTGATTAAAATCAGATGTTTTTTGATTCATTCTATTTTCCATACCTTATATTTTACCTGAATCAATTTTACTTAACATCTGACAAGTTTTATCATTAAGTTGTGTTCTTACTTGTGTACTGTAATCAGTCAATTGAAATGCAGCTTTTCCAGTCACACCCAAGGCATCATCCTCTGCTCTATTTATAAACTTATTGTAATCTTGTGCCTCACACAGCCAAAGGGAACCATTCAAACTATTAGGAGTTAAAGTTATCTTCTTTCTACATAATAGCTCTGACTATTTATCTAGTCACAGGTTAAAGATACGTTCCCGTGTACAAACTGGGTGATTTGATGATGAATTTGGAGTAAAAACATATTCAAACTAATTAATCTATCAAAATTTTGCTTCAAATCCTTCTCAAAACATTGTTTACGCTATAAAAAAATCTATTTAATGAGGTCATGTTTGTGTCACGTGACTTAGCTGACGACCTACCTGCAATGTGTGCGATGTCGTAGAAGAATTCATTGCATACACAAGACGATGTTGCCTTTAATCGCTATCTATTTTTCATAAATATCGAAGCCTAATTAAATTGTCGGATTTTCCGTGATTTTTATCTCAGCAATTGTTGTATGTGTAACTCTTCATAAAGTTTATCAACATGTACATCAAGTGCTCAATCTCCGCATGCAACCTTTGACGTCACGCGAGCAGACATTCCTAATCCTCAGCCTGCTCCATGAGTGTTTTTCAGGGAATCCAAATTTTTCTAGTAAGATTGGTTATTTCTACTTTCCATATATACCGAAATTGCCATACTTTTATTGGAAATAACCACCCGATAAATACTTTCCTGAGAAAGTATCTTTAAGCTTATTGTTTCTAGAACACCAGATATCACGTTTTCTTTAAGAAGTACACATGATTCTGGGTGATTGAAGGTTATTTAAACTAAATACCAATAACATTTGATAATTTTTTCTATTCATCTGGGGAATTTATTTTATTATCATTTTCTATTCAACAGATACCTGTGTGATTTCTCCTATTATCAATCACTACACATTGATAAACGAAAGGCAGCATTTATACATGTTCCTCCTTTGGGCTGTCCATATACAGCAGAAGAAATCGCTGAAGGTCTGAGAGCAGTTATACTATCAATGTTAAAACACATGGCATTATGATTTGTATCTTATTGGAACAATATTTTTAATCTCCTATCCTTCTTTAAATCACCATCATAATTACGTCCCAAAATTATTCATGTTTTATTTAAAGCACAAACAATTCAAATATAAATTTGAATAAGATACATTTGTATTTTAAGATGTACCAATATGATCTATATTCATGATATCTGTGAACTGAAACCAATTTGACAGACTTTGAACTTATTTTACTCGGTTAATGATCCATCGAATATAATGGCATAATATACAGATAATATATAATATATAAATCACAATGCATTCCAATTTCACCCAAACATTAATTTGTATAACTGATGCTTTAACATAAAGGAATGAAATGGGGGTTGGCTTCTAATTGATATTGCCTAGTTTTGCCATTATGTTCATTTTGAATACCTTGATTTATAATTAAGATTTTTATACGCCCACATTTTCATGTGGACGTATATTGTCGTCGCCCCTGTCCATCCGGACGTCCGTCCACAATTGTTTGTGAACAGTCTACAGGTCACAATTTTTATCCGATTTCAATGAAACTTGAAATATAGGTTTATCACCCTAAGATCTCGGTTCCTTTCGATATTGGCATCTATCGGACCGTAACTTCATGGATTATGGCCTCTGATTGTACGAAAAATCACATTTTTGGCTTGTGAACACTGTAGAGGTCACAATTTTTATCCGATTTAGTTGAAACTTGAAATGTAAGTTTATAACCCAAAGATCTCGGTTCCTTTCGATATTCGCACATATCGGACCGTAACTTCCTGAATTATGGCCCCTGATTTTACGTAAAAACGCGTTTTTTGGCTTGTGGACCCTATAGAGGTCATAATTTTTATCCGATTTAAAAAAACGTATTATTATATCATCGTTAAACCCTAAGGACGGTTGAGTTTGAATTTCGTGAAAATCAGCCCAAAACTGACCGACAAAATGGCCGCCATTCGTTCTCAAATAGCGTAAAAATATGGTATATCAAGGTTGTTGACCCTATAGAGGTCACAATTTTTATCCGATTTTGTTGAAACTTGCAATGTAAGTTTATAACACAAAAATCTTGATTCCTTTCGATATTCGCGCATATCGGACCGTAACTTCATGAATTATGGCCCCTGATTGTACGCAAAAACGTGTTTTTTGGCTTGTGGACCCTATAGAGGTCATAATTTTTATCCGATTTAAAAAAACGTGTTAATATATCACTGTTACACCCTAAGGATGGCTGAGTTCGAATTTCGTGAAAATCGGCCCAAAACTGACAGACAAAATGGCCGCCGTTCGTTCTCAAATAGCGTAAAAATATGGTATATGAAGGTTGTGGACCCTATAGAGGCTACAATTTTTATCCGATTTTGTTGAAACTTGAAATGTAAGTTTATAACACAAAGATCTTGGTTCCTTTTGATATTCGCGCATATCGGACCGTAACTTACTGAATTATGGCCCCTGATTGTACGAAAAATCACGTTTTTAGCTTGTTTTCTATCCATCTCTCGAAAATGTGGGCGTATCCTGCCTGGCAGCCGCTGGTATTTATTGATTTCATTGATTTCATTTACATATAATTTCCAGTTATTGCATAATTATCAAATTCATGTTGATTGTTTTAAGAATTGTTTGTTTTGTTATACAACATCTAATTTGTTGATAATGTTTTCACTTTTCAGGGATACATTTTATTATGCCCACATTGAAATGTTATCATATATTGCTGTCGTCCCTTGTCTGTTCATTGGTACCATAGGTTCATAGTCCATCGTCCACAATTTTGCATGAAACTCAATCTGCAAACTAGATTCATAATCTGTCTTTTTCAAATTTATGGATGTTGTTTGCATTAGTGTGACAAAGAAGTCAATTGAATTCTGATGATAAATTCCAGATTTATTACCTATGATCACTTTGTAGAATTTGCGAACACTCTTATCAACAAGAGTTACCTGATCTGTTGAAATTTTTTCAACATTGTTCAGGTTAGTGAAGGCAGAATTCTATCAACAATTTCTGCATGTTCCTGAAGCAACGGCCATGAGTTGCTAACAATGGTACCTAATCTTCCTTTATAGCAGGCAGTGCACACATATGAACAATAACATTGTCAAATCAGAGGTCGCGATACACAACGACCTCTGCAGAAAAAGGCTTAGATAAGTTTAGAGCCATTGAAAATTGTTTTTTTCAGTTGAAAAACTCACAGAAAAGCAATCAAAGCTATTTTAGAAATTAAAATTTCTTGATAAAGATACCTGTAAGAGTATTGAAACGTTGCATGTAATAAACTAAGAAGTAGTAAATCCATAAAGTTGTGTTATTATGAATATTGTACCTCTACTTCTAAATGTCATTCAAGGAACATACTTTAAATTTATATTCTCTGTTTCAATTATTTCAGTCAATAACAATTAGAAAAATTGCTTTTTAATAAGCTAAACATTCACTATGCAACAAGCTTTATGGAGTGCTCGGACAACTTAGCTGCTGTAAGCGTATGTTTCGTTGCCTGGCAAAAAGGTATCCTTTGTTTTGACTCAAAAAGAATATCTTCTTAAAAGTTCTCTAAAACATTTTTATTCCTAAATTCACTGAATTTGACATTGTATCATATGTATTTTTTACTAGAATCTTTAGTAAACTTAGCTAGTAATAACTAGTCTAGTCTGCTGGATGTTTGGTCTTTACACATTAAATAAAATGGGGTTTCTTTTATACCAAATCTTACTTTTCTGGACCAACTAGTCTATGAAGACTAATTTACTCTAATTGTAAAATGTGTTAATTTATTTTGCATTAGACTTTCTTGATTTTTATATTTATACTAGGGCTCTCATTTTGGTCATGAAATAGAATTAACTTCTATTATATGTAAAAACATTTATACACTAAAAAATGTCTTTTGATCAGAAAGACATACTCTGGCTAATTAGAGGTGAATAAAATTTGCAAAAAATAGTCAGACAACATTTTGATGGGAGAGCCCTGGTTTGCACTGGTGATATTAATGTTTATATTAAGTTTGATATAAGGATTTTATTTTTACTAAATTTACAAAGGTGCACTGGTTTGTTCTTGCAAAAAGATCCTCGATACATTCGACTTGTTTTCTTGCCTACATATAGCTATTATCTTGTGAACTGATATTATCCATTCATTAATATTTTAGTAATATATCACAATACTGAAAATTGATTTTGATGTTAATTATAATATAGATAAAACCACTCATGTATATTTTTATTACCTATATATTTACAAGAGTAATTGTGATATTACGTATAAACAAGTTGTGATAATAAATATATGTTAATGAGTTGTGATTGATGTATGAAATCCATGTGAATAAAAAAATCCCCCAAATTTGATCTATTTGTTTCATGTTAGGAATGTACAATTATTATTTTGATAACTGCCTTCGAGATCATTAACAAGATCATTAACGTGGTCAAGCAAGGACACAATGCACAGCAAGAATCCGCGATCAGCAAGCACCAACCATATTTGCCACTCAGGAATTTTTAGACACAGAATTCAGGGCACATGAAGAATGTGAACCAGCGGCTGCCAGGCAGGATATGCCCACATTTTCGAGAGATGGATAGCGAACAAGCTAAAAAGAAAGTGATTTTTCCTACAATCAAGGGCCATAATTCAGGAAATTACAATTCGATATGCGCAAATATCGAAAGGATCCAAGATCTTTGTGTTATAAACTTACATTTCAAGTTTCAACAAAATCGGATAAAAATTGTGACCTCTATAGGGTCCACAACCTTGATATACCATATTTTTTTTACGCCATTTTGTCTGTCAATTTTGGGCCGATTTTCACAAAATTCGAACTCAGCAATCCTTAGGGTGTAACGGTGATATAATAATACGGTTTTTTAAATCGGATAAAAATTATGACCTCTATAGGGTCCACAAGCTAAAAACGTGATTTTTCGTACAATCAGGGGCCATAATTCAGGAAGTTACGGTCCGATATGCACGAATATCGAAAGGAACCGAGATCTTTGGGTTATAAACTAACATTTCAAGTTTCAACAAAATCGGATAAAAATTGTGACCTCTATAGGGTCCACAAGCTAAAAACAAAATTCGAACTCAGCAATCCTTAGGGTGTAACGGTGATATAATAATACGGTTTTTTAAATCGGATAAAAATTATGACCTCTATAGGGTCCACAAGCTAAAAACGTGATTTTTCGTACAATCAGGGGCCATAATTCAGGAAGTTACGGTCCGATATGCACGAATATCGAAAGGAACCGAGATCTTTGGGTTATAAACTAACATTTCAAGTTTCAACAAAATCGGATAAAAATTGTGACCTCTATAGGGTCCACAAGCTAAAAACGTGATTTTTCGTACAAACAGGGGCCATAATCCATGAAGTTTCGATCCGAAAAATGCCAATATCGAAAGCAGCCGAGATCTTTTGGCGATAAACCTATATTTCAAGTTTCGTCAAAATCGGATAAGAATTGTGACCTGTAGAGTGTCCACAAACAAATTGTGGACGTCCGGACGGACAGGGGCGACGACAATATACGTCCACATGAAAATGTGGGCGTATAAAAATACATTTGTGAAGCCAGTTAATAATAAAGACAGACTATGATAACATTAACAGCAGTGTTTATTTTAACTGTAGCAAACAGTATTTATGATGAATAATATACATGTCAAATCATATTATTAACATCATTGTCTTGTCATGTGGTCCTTGGTAATTATCAACTATATCTCATTGTTAAATATTTATATTATATGACAATGTTGGGATTCAGATATTATACAGAGGTAATTCACTTAACAGCATTTCATTTAACATTAAAGATCACAGCTCTTGAAAATACTTTTACCTTCCACTATCCTACCTGAACCCTATTTCAACTGTATGGTAGACTAGAATCCATTGATGTTGCTTAGAATCAAAGATGCAACGCCAATGTGTGGCTAACTGCTGCATGGTTTCGTTCCATTTAATATACATGTATATCACAACTACATTTTCTTTTGATCAACAAAAGAAAAGCATTTTGTATTTTGACATTTCTATATTTTTTGCATAAATAAAACTATTTGGCTAAATTTTAACATCTTTTGAAATCAGAATCTGATAAGAATAGTTGACTTTCCCAGTATAGCTACTAAATAAATTGAAACCATCACTAAAATATAATAAATGACAAAAATTAAGTCAAAAAAGCCAACCACATGTGATGATGATATAGAAATAGAACAATGATGTAATTAGTTTAAGCATTTCAATATTCTCGTTGATTGCTTAACATTTTCTACTACTGCACATGTAACAAACTTTATAAGTGTAAAAAATAAAAAATTAGAAGTTGTACATGTAACAGAAGAGAAATAAAGCCTATTCCCTAATTGTATGAACATGAAAGTTGATATGTTTTAATAGCACAATAATATAAAGCTTAATTAACTCATTTTTCCAACTGATATGATATTTTCCATAATTTCACTTTTAAAAATTTTCAACTTAATTAACGAAAATCTATTGATAATAGCAAATCATATGACTGATCAAACTGTTTAGGAAATTTTAAGAAACCAAATGTCGACACTAAAAGTACATTTTATGTAATTACAAAAAACAGCAATTTCTGGTAGATGTCAAAATATTTACACCAGACTTACCAAGGCAAAACAATTGGACTTTATATATCAATTTTTGTACATATTTTTAACAAATGCACTTACAAATTTAAATTTTGCAAATTATCTAACGTGACTTACGGACATGTAATGGAATAATTTAAAACCTTGGTGCATAGAATATATACTTAATTTTTCAGGCTTGAGGGTCAGAAACATTTTTAGTTCCATTCATATTTACTTTTATCACTTTACAGCATTTGTTTCACTGTGTGATGATACAGCTTTCATTGCAATAAGGAATATGTACATCTTTGGAAACTTTAATAGTGGACAAGGATAATGTATATATTTGGAAACTGCCATAGTGATTTATAAAGATAGACTCTGTTACCCTCAAGCCAGAAATGGGGCAACACCCGGTAATTATACATTAAAATTCCATGGGTTGTTTCCTTATATACATTATTTTACATACCATATACATAGAGAGGAAAAGTTATCTTAAAGAATAACACTGATAAAACATTTAAAATATAAAGAGTTTAAACAAATTACTATACAGATTGTATTTACACTTTCACTTGTAGAAGAATCATAATTTGAAAAAAAAATGACTTGTATATATATAAAACAACATTTAAAGAAATATATAGCAATCTTTCAAATAATGAATTGATGTATGACTCTACAATGTTATTTAACACATGAACTTTTCAAAACCTTTAAAATAAAAGCGGCAGTCCAAGAATAAAAATATCTTCAAGTATGTAAATCAAATATGATGATATAGCCTTTTATTTTTGCTCTGGAAATTTCAAAGCAAACTATTGAGCTGTTAGTAAATGCTCACCCTATTTGCTTAATAGCTAGAGTAAACTGAAAGTATCTTTTGAACAAGTTTCATAAAGCTTTAGATAGTTGAACAATACTAGAATAAAGGTCTGGAAGATTCTTTCACTGCAAATGAACCAGATTTGTTCATAAAAATATATCTGGGATTGCTCTATTAGTAAGAAAGATGGTGAGTGGTCTGTCAGAGCCTTTATACAACCACCGCCAGCAAAATCTCAAATATTTATCAACAAATCCCACAAGTTCAGGATTTTCTATCACTGACTCTCTATAAAGCTTAAAAGTATAAATTCCATTTATAACTTTGTTCTGTATGATTATAAATATTAATTGACAAAATGTGTTCAAAATTTATGAAAATCAGTAGGGTTCTTGTTTTAACCTAATGAACAATCCCACCAAGTCTTAAAACACTCCATCAACAATTTTTTCCTGTACTTGAATTTTGATAGGGTCTTTCCTTATGACCCTGTGAACAATCCCTGAAATTTTCTAAAACTTTAGAATATTGGGCTATCATAAAAAAAAAAGTGGTCGATGGACGACAATGCATACAAGAACTTGACAAAAATTACTATCCTCAAAAACCACAAAACTTTTCATGTATATAAACCTTATTTAAGCAAAGCAGTAATGATAATATAAACTTATTTTAACTAATTTGACATCAATAATATTTGTTTAAGAGCATCTACCTGAGTCTAGTTCACAAAAGTAAATGAGCTTCTACTTGATCTAGAATAATATATTGAGCTCAAATTAAAAATTGATAAGATTAGACAAAACCTAGTAATACATGTAGTTAAATGAATGTATACATCAAGACATGTAAGATTTTAAAAATTAATACTTAAAACACAATACATATATGTATCAATTGGTATTAGCATTAATCTACTTTCATTGTAAATGTTGATTCCCAGTCAACATTTCATTGTGAAAACCATATTACTGTATAGAAAATCTATATCATCATGCAACTTATTAAGTAATTCTCAAATTCAAACTTTATCTCTTATTATTGTATCTTTTATATTTAAACTATGAGTAGTCTCAATCTCTGCTCTGTGAACTAATTATTTCAATACAAAAGGAATGGTGTCAAAGTAAAAATATGTATCATAAAGCGGAAACATTAAGCCAGTTTCTTGTCTACTAGATTGATTAGCACTGTTAGCCACTAGCTCTCCAGTTATCATTGTTGTCAGAATTACTTATAATTAAAATTTCTATTTTCGGTTTGTTTTTTCAAATCAGATCTCATAATCTGTTTAAACATGCCATAAAAACCTTTGTATGGAAATAGAACTAAATATTACACTATTTTGATTTTCTTCTCTTTCTTATTACCATACTAAAGATTCTGAAAACATAGTCGATTAGAAGTATCCAAATTTTCAATTCTTTGGATACAGAAAGATTTCGTCTAAAATGAATTCTGAAAATGATACATGTATATAAAGAATCCTATCAAAAGACTTGAAAACTGTAAAATTGAATGTTTATAGTAATATATTGGTCATCAGCAGAAACACAGGAACATCACAGACATAGAATTAAAAAGAAACATCAACTTCCAAAAATACTTATATAACTCTTTTTATGGTATATCTGTTGTTTAAAACAATTCAACCATACCATACAAGACCTGTAGGAAAAATAAATTCTAAATTCTGAAGCATAGAAAAAACATCTTTACATTTTACCATATATCACATAACAATTCACAGCAAAAATCTTCATAAAATGTAGTGAACATTATGTACACACTTTCATAAAAAATATCATTAGTGACTATTTTTTTTTTTATTTTCCCCTAATGAAACCCGTAAAATTTTCTCTTGAACTTGATTTTAATATTATTTTTTTTGTGCTAAATTTTACTTTTTACAATAAAAATCATTGCATTTTTGACCACGTACCAAACAACAACTGTAGTGTTCTAAATACGGTAGTTCTAATTTATGGATTTCAAAAAGACTGATAGAAATTCTGTCAGTAGCACTCACTATAAAATGATGCAAATTAAAACAATGATCCGGTTTCTTGGTATAAAATACCATTTCATTGATATTTGGAAAATGTGTAACAATGGATAGTTATTCTTGACACAGACTAAATAATAACTTATAAATGGCCACATAAATCTAAAACTATCCACAGTATTTACAAACAAAGACAAAAAAAAACATGATAATAATTAAGGACAAAATTATGCTTTAACATTTTTAAAATCAACAATTATAATATGCATTAAATATATCTTTATCTATATATAATATATGTGACAAACTTGTCATAAAATAAAAAAAAGTTTCAAATATTTTCAAAGATGGCTCTAATGATAAAACTGTGTATAGTCTATAGTATAGTTTAACATAAGAATGTGCTGCTCATTAAAAACACAATAGCTGGCTATCATTGTCATCAGCTGCATAGTCTGTAACACTAATCTTATAAGTGTTCCACGAATACAATATTACTATTAGGCTCAACTGGTGGAGGTTTCTGACGAGTGCTGTCATGCCGTGTAATTTTTGTAAGAGTAACAGGCTCTTTATGTTTATCTTCAGCCCTTTCCCGCATGTTGATTCCGCTTGTGATGAGCTCCCCAAAACCCTCTTGGTGAGCAAATGCGTAACCTGAACGCATGGAACGGGTACTTCTGCGCATTGTCGACTGTCTGCGAAAATTGAGGTCTCTTGATCTTGATTTGGTCTTCTTGATACGTTGTCTTAAGCGAACTTTGTCAGAGAGTGTAGGATTAATGTTTGAGGTATAGAATCTATACGCTACCACCGGTACAATCAATAATGTACACGTTAACAATAAACACAGCCAAAAATTAGCAGACGAAAACACAGATAGTGCTACTCCAACATAAGAGTAGCCTATTCCTTCTGAATAAAATGCTAAAATAAAACAGAAGTAGTAGATTATGCTTCCCCACATCACAAAGTGGTTGAACCCTGTCCAATATGAAGTATCTAAAGCACACTGAAAGAGAAAGTAATAATAGAAATATAAACAACAGATATCATGACATAAATGTAGCATAATAGCTTTAATGATCTTTTAATTTATGTAGGATACATCTATTAAAGTTATTCCACAGATACACTACAATCAAAAAACACAAGTGTACTGTCAGATCCTGGTCTATGACACAGTATGTCAGAATGAGTTGGGGATGCTTAGGATGTTTTTAAACTAACAAATGGTAATTTTTATTTCTAGCAAAGGATGAATTCTGACCGGCAGTGGCATCTTCACATGCTCTTCTTAGAATTCCAAATGACAAGAATTTATATGTTCGCTACACATCTGTACATGGGATCCCAGTTAACGGAACAACTAATGTCATTAAATACATAGAATTGGACATTAATTTGTTGGACCATACTTTTGATTTAAATCAAAGAGGTTTAGATTTTTTAAATAGATACCTACCCTTAAATTGGTAGCCACAACCAGTATGGCAGCTACAACAGTACCAAATGACTGCATGTCTGCTAAATCATAGCCTGATACACCATGTGTATAGAGAAATGCTCCATAAGGTATAAAAAACATAATTAATGAGGATATTACTCCTTCACAAACACTCCATAAAAACTTTCGTTTATTAAACAATGCATCTTGTAAACCAGGTGTATAGAGTTTAGGATATCGGATGGAATAGTCATCATTTACATCCTAAAATATAAATAACATTCCATTAATAAAGTACATCAGCTTGTTTATTGTTGACAAAGAGTTCAAAAATTTATACTCCTACCGGACTCAATTGGATTACTCCTATAACTTTTGAAATGACAAAATTGTAATCAAGTAATTAACAAGGAATGAAGTTCTTCCAAAATTGTCAGTTTTAATGAGAAATCTATGATAAGTAGAACCATGATTGGTAATGAGATTTTTCTATACAGTTGTCACATGGTTTAATGCCTGAAATTCTAATTTTTGCTCATGTACAAGGAATGAACGAAGGAATGAACGAATAAATGAAATAGGGTTAAATGTCCTACTTTTCTGCACCCACTGGGCTAATAAATATGGATCATGTACAAGTGTTATTAAAAAAATTTATTATTGAAGAGAATGAGATATAAATAAAATAGAGAACCTACCTGGTCTAACATACCAAGTACCAGGACAGGTAATGATGTATAGAACACATTATATAGTGAAATAAAATATGGATCATATAGTGTCTGAAAAACAAATACAGACTAACATTATATATCATAAATATTGAAAGGGTGTTAAAACAGGTTATATATAGGTAAGTAATATGGGGAAGGCAAAATGTATCACTCTATCCTATATTGCATACTAAATCTATTTGAGGCATAGTTGCACTACAAGTTAAACACATGATACCATTTGTCCTTGGCTTAATGTTATATTTCAATACTAAGGGCTTTGGTATTATGAATTATCTGTGCTGTTCTGTGTTTTGGCTGGGCAGTTATAGATGCACAGTCTATTAGGTGATTTTATCGATTTGTTTTTAGAGACGAACATGGTTAAATATTGTGCTTCTCATAAACTTATAATGATATGCTCAATAAGTTAATACAACAAGGTTGCAATATGATGGGCAAAGGATATTGTTAATTTTGTAAATAAAATTGGATTTAACATCATACTTTCTGCACCATTGCAATGTGCTATGATGGAAATGGTGCCCTGGACAATTCCTAATTCCTATATAACCAAAATATGATATATTACTAACCTGAGCTGAAAATCCACAAAAAAAGGCAAACCAGAAATGGCACAATGTAAATGCAAAGTTCTTATAGAAAAAATATCGCAGAAATTTACACATTCGAAGGTAAGACCATCTTCCATGTACTAACAACAGTCTCTCTAAATAGCGAAACTGTGCCATGGAGTAATCACTTGCTAATACTGCCTGCATACCTTCCTGTCCACTGATACCAACACCTATATGAGCCACTGTAAATATATTATAAAATACAATTAATAATAATTACTTATATTATTTACATCCATGTACTTCATACATCATTTATACTCCACATCTATCATCTACTCATTATTGCACATTATCACCACATTGTACACACACTCACAATTATCATTTACATTAACCACTTACCATCAAAATATTACAGTATCTCTACAACATTAGGCCACACAAAAAATATATTTTGGTTCTCAGATACCGCCATGTCATCAAAAATGAGCTGCTTCACCCATTTTTATTTTAAAGTGCACATAAGATGGGTGAGAAAACTTTTCGGTACGTATAGCCAATGGTTACTACATCCACTTTACGATAAGTTCACACCAATCTGTTTAAAATTAATTCAGCTATTAACGTTTAAGTATTCAACACCCCAAAACGCTTTTCAATTTTTTAATTACTATCTTAATCCTGTTGATTGGCTGGTGACGTAACGGGGACTACATCGAATTATCGTCTCTATAAGTACAGAAATACAAATGGTGCCTGTCATTTGTCAATATATTCATTATTAGCTATATATAATAATAATAATAACCATTTCTATACACAAAGAACAACTTTTATCGTAACTCCAATTGAAATTCACAGCGAATATGGATTTTTCCAATGACTATGCGTAACAATAGATCACCCTTTATGTTTATGTGTAGGCAATTGGCCTGTTATTAACATACACTGGTTACCTCTAATAAAAACAGCAGTGCATTTCCGCAGTTTTGTATTGTTTGTATTTTTTTGAAGAGTATATAACAATAAACTTACTCTTGATCATACTGACATCATTTGCCCCATCACCTATTGCTAGTGTAATAGATTTTTTACTTCGTTTCACTAAATCCACTACCAAAGCTTTTTGTAAGGGTGTGACACGACAGCATATAATAGCTTTACACGAACAACCTAACTCCAGGAATAACCCCTCTAACTCTGGTTTCAATGCATATACCTAAAACATACAACAATATAATTCCAATATAAAATTAGAAAAAAAAACAACAAAATAACACAATAATGATTGAATGCTGAACTGTAATGGGTGTTATATGATGGCTATGGCAGGTCTTCAGTTAATCAGAAGGTTTACAATGCATGATATAAGATAGTTGAAAGACAAGTTCCTAGAACAATACTGACTTTCATTATCCATCTTGAATGATGTCACTGTAAACAGTGGAACATACAGAATGTGCTGAAGAGTGTTCTGGTATATTTTAGCTGTGTTTTAACAGCCAGGGACATTATATGAGCACTCAAGGACAATTTAATCAGTGAGGTTTAAGCAGTTATATCAATAGAAATAAAAACTTACTAAACTATGGCCATTGATAACAAGAGCAAAGTCTCCATATTCTTCTTGCTGAGTAGGAAGGTGTCCATTTGTACCATTATACACTGCTTGTCCACCACCACCATTAGCTATTATAACACCAACATCATTTCTACCAGCACCAGCAGTCTTTGCTTTCTTTACTTCATCTAAAGCTGTCTGTAATTCCTTCTGTACCTCCTCGCATGACTCAGCACTTATAATAAATGGTTCTTCCATTTCTTCCGTAAGCAGACGGCATGAATATCCTATATTTATCGCTGTTTCTATAATAATAAGAAGAAGAAAAAAGAAGAAGTGAAATGAATTAGGTTTTTGAAATGAAATGAAATGAGGTTCAACGTCCTACTGTTCTGCTCCGACTGGGATAATGAAGAAGGGGGGTTAGGGTTTAATGCAAATGTTGAATAATGGTGTAACGTTGTAAATTAAGATTAATACACTGTTGTATTTTCTTCATTTGTGAGTGAGTGAAACATCTAAATATAAATTGTATTTTTCTTGTGCAGCATTATACTCCTAACATTTTGCATATAGAACATGTAGTCACAATTACAACATTAAACTGAACAGAAAAGTTCTTATATCTATACAATACTTGCATCATCATAAATAAATAAATATATCCACATACCTTGTTTATCTCCAGTAAGAACCCAGATTTTAATACCAGCAAGAGCTAAATTAGCTATAGCTTCTGGTACACCATCTTGTAATTTATCTTCTATAGCTGTAGCTCCAACTAATATCATATTCTTCTCTATTTCTTCATATACACCATCTAATGCATCATCTCGATTGTCTAATGTTACACTGTAAAACAATTTCAGTATCATTACAATACATTTATTTGATACATTCCTTTGAATTCAGAATAAAGATTACGGCCATAATTGCTTTAGTCTAGTTAAACCAAGGCAAGCTGGAATCTGGTTAACTAAATGGTAGTATGGCAAACTAATGGCAAGGGTTTCCTTTGTGTCTGTCAGGTCTAAAGTTAATATGAGTGATTCATTTTATGCTTTATTCTGGGCAAGATCCCCCCCCCTCCCCCACCACACCCTCAAATTTCCAACAGTGTAAGTGTCAGAGTCAATTCATATTATGTATGCCTTTGGGAGCTTTACATGATTAACTTGCAATGCTAAATAATTTGAAAGGTTTATATCATTATATGACTTGTTGAAAACAAAAGATTTGTCAAAATAATTATACCTGGCAGCCTGGTGTTTCTCCTTCCATTTATTATAAACATCTGGTTGTAATTCTTTTTGTGCTAAACATAATGTTCTTAATCCAGTTTGAGCAAATTCCTTAAAAACAAACACCACAAAATATTAAAATATAATCATAGATTGGTCCGTGTTCAATTTTAAAACTGATCTAAATCATAACTTAGGAAACATAATGTATGAATAAACCATACCTTCAGATATAAATCCATGCAATACATACTACACGCCACTCAATATGATGAGAGATATGACCATTATTTACCCCTCCCAAATATTATGTCACGTCATGGCCATATTCATCACTGGTGGTTCGAAGCTATAAAATACTCACACTATAAACAATAATTATGAAGAAATGCATTTAATTTGATTTCAGTTAAGGTAGCGTATTTCTCCATATATTACCTGGTACATCATACATGTACTGATACAATAATTCTAGATGCAATTTAAATCATTCCTTACAAATATTGGTTACTATTGTTACCATTTGTTGGGTTTTTAAAGGTATATTTGTTAAACTATCGACTGGAAAATATCCCCAAACAACAATGAAAAATGTACATGTGACCAGAAACATTTAATTCTTCGAGGGAAATGTTTTCTATAATGTTTTTTTTAATTGTAATTGCCATTATGTTTTACAAGATGATGAATGGCTGAGATATAAAAATGTCACCTCAAATGTTAAATCATCAATGTTAGCCATTCAACTGATTTTTGCTAGTACTGTATTTTACAGGTTGCAAGTCGATGTGGAGTATAAGTAGAATTGTCATATTTTACTGTTTTTCCAACCTCCATCCATATATAAGTCGAAGCGGTATATAAGACGATTGTGTTTTAACTCCACCGTAGCAATCTTTTATCGAGATACTCAAGTTTTATTCTACTTTTAGTATAATACTATGCCAATGTACGTCAAAAAATTGCCCCATAAGGCAACACAAATAAAATAACTTGTTTCTCGGGCACCGCCCGCACGCAAAATTGGTTGCGCGTGCAGTCTATTTATTAGTCTTGATGAAAAAAAATAAATATGTAACGCCCGCCCGCACATCGACAAGCAAGTCGTAAAAAAATATCCCGCATGTACCTACATCCGCCATACATGTATATCTATTCAAATGTATTAAAACTGATTCAGATGAACATGCTGTCTTTTTTATCCGAACAATGGCGAAGTTTGGCAGATTTGCCTTTTTTATTGATATCGAAAGAACCTCCATTTTGTATCACGTGATATTAATTACCTCCCCTGATAAACTAGAATTTGATTCGTGTTAAAAGTCATTGGCGACAATATTTCAATCATTCGATCGTAATCGGCTCATTATTGCCGGCTTCAGTCGGTCCTTGTTTGGAAAATCCTATTGATAAAATAATGAACCGTAGAACAGGTTAATTAATTATAGCTAAGAATACGATACGATGACGATAGTCGTCATAATGCATACCTTAGAATCTGGGTCATTATTAGCACATTTACGGTAGTTTCGATAATCCGGAAAATAATAATTGGATTACCGATTTGATGGTTTTACTGACCAGTTGTTAGTTAGATTTAAATAGTCATTCAATATAAACACCGGATAGAACACCGAATATCCTGAGAAACACACCGAATATCCCAAGAAACAGTATTTCCGGCAATCTCCAATACCGATGACACGATGTGACATGCATTGGTTGGAATTCGGTAAATAATTATAAATAAACCGGCGATACTAGATTTAGTTTTAAATACTGGTTACCATGATTATTATTTTTGATACACCTGGTGAAAGAGGCTTAGTTTTTAAAAATATTGTTGTCTTTATGGAGGGCTATTACATAGTCGTATGGAATTTTATTTTAAACCAATTTCAATTATGTGAATTAAATATGGAAAATTATTTTCCTTTCAGTCAGTGTTCAGTCTCAGTGTTTTAGTAGACTTGATTTTGGGTTTATGTTTTAAGTATGTACAATAAAGTTGAATATAATGGAAAGCAAAAACGTAAACAAGTAATGACTTTCTCATTTAAAAAAAAAAAAAAAGAAAGACCGCCCTCCCGCCCCAACAATTTTCAGCAATAGCCAAATTTTATTTTGCACCATCAATGAGTAAAAAAAAAAAAAGAAAGCGCCCTCCCTCCCTACAGTTTCAGCTGTCAGTTGCCCGAGAAACAAGACATTTATTTTGTGTGGCCTAATATTGATTAATGTAAAATAATCAGTTTATAAATATAGGACTAACTTGAGTAATATCCCAAGTTGTATTCTTGGTTATTTGAACCTGTTCTTATTTCAATATATTCAATAAATGTTAGATAATACACATGATGTTTGTGATCGCATATGGTAATAATATTCCAATGGCGCCTATGTATGATTGGTTAACTTAATTGAAAACTAAAGTAGAACTCTCGGGAGATGCAAGAAAATATGAGAGATGGCAACATGAAAATTTCCACATGAATAATGTCGGAAGAAAGGTTCTATTTTGATGGAATTTTCTAGCATTTATGATTATATTTTGAATGGGGGTTATGTTTTTAAATAAAAGTTATGCCAGCTATATATATTTAGAAATGTCGACATATTTTTACTGGAATACCGTGAGTAGTTTTAGACGATAGCAAAAGTTTGATTTTACCGTATGACTACTTGCCATTATTTAGCAGACGATTTAGCAGGGTGTAATTTTTTTATCTTCATCCATATATGTCGATGTGGAGTATAGGAGCATAAGACAAAGGTCTGATTTTCGCAGAAAAAAGTATCGATTGATACCCCGAAAAATTTGGTTATTACAAATATCATGACCGAATTTTGTTCAAAGGAACCTATCTTTAAATCTATAAAAATACATAGCCTTAGTATCAAAATATTTAAATTTGACTAATAACCCATTCATGTTGATAATATAAGATACTGATGGTCTATGTCTGTAAACATGTTTTACAAGTAACTTACATTTAAATGACTTAAAGTCAGCTCTTTTAACTGAGAACAGCTTGGATCTAATCTTTCAAATATAATAGAATCTGCCCCTTTACAATATAATGTTATTTTACCATCTTTTCTTACTATTACCTATAAAATATATAAATAAACATAATATAATCACAATAAGTATATCAATATTCATGCATTTCTTGACACAAAGCTGATGTCAATCAATGGTACATGTGGTCACTGATTGTGGATGTCTTGCTTGTTACAAAAGGCTATATGGTGTTTTTGATTTTTTTTTACTTCCAATTCAGTCTTATTATACACAACATGTATAAAGAGAAATATTTGATTTAATTTTTTGAAATATAAGTAGTGATTTTACCAACTTACAGACATTCTTTTACGAACATTATTAAAATCCAATATACATAACAGTTCATATATTTCTGTTTCACCATTTACTTCTATAGTAATAGTACTTGGTGTTCGAGACTGAAATAAAAATATCCAGTTTTATAAAATGATATAATATATGAATAATTTTATCATGTGAGAATGTCACAACAATAAATAAAATAATCTGTGAAATAAGCTACTCACCTTAAAAACAAAACCAAAATTTCTAGCTGCGGAAACCAAGGCACCTTCATCGGGGGATTGAGCTTGATACTCTAATCTACCTAGATATAGATAAATAATCAAGTTTCATTACAGTTACACATTACTTGGGTTTGCAATTGGGAACTCTAAGTTACTGGTTTTCTTTCTTTTACTTCATTAATTTTATATCAAATATAATGCCTCGAGCAATTAAACTGTTTATCACTAGTTAGGGTATTGATGCATCACTTCCACTCAAATTGCCCGTCTTCATTAGCCCAATAGGATATTAAACCCAACTTCATTTCATTTCACTCAAATAGAATCAGAGTTTGTTCGAAAGCATCACCAGGTTGGAAAGCAACGTAGAATCAAATTACTTATCTCTGCTTAGCCTCTGGAGAAATTGCTCATTATCGAACAAAGTCAAAACATTCACCAAATGAACATCTATACATGTTCTTGACATCTTACCTCAAATAGAAGCAGAGTTATTGTGTTTCAAAAGGCGGGACAGACTGACAGAATGACAGTCAACAAGTATTATTGTCAGTTATTAAAATTTGTAGGACCAATTGTATAGTGCCAAGTCTTAATCCTTGATCTAAAAGGAACTTACCATCTTTTTTAGTTTCTGGCATCACAGTATGACATAAAGCTAAATTACGGAAAAAAGCTTCTGTTTCTTTTACTCCACTATGGATATCTTCTAAAAGACGTTTATCATAAAAGTCAAAAGTTGGTTCTGCGTAGGAATTGTCACTAAAATCAACTTTGGGAGTTCTCTGAAATATAAAATTTAGAAAGTGTTCTTAGAGTGTTTCAAAGAGTATGGCACTGGCTCACTAACCAGGAGATCCTGTCTTTTAATTCTCGTGTTGGTCAAGAAAGTTTCTCATGATTTTCCAGCCAGGTTTCCCTATGTCAGTTGTGCAAGATTGCGAGACAGGCCAAAAAATTGCCTTGCCATTCCAAAAAAGCTCCACACATGCACTAGTTTGTGTGCATATGAAAAACCCCTCGACAGTTGGAATTCGATTATGAGTAGTCTAAAAACGTCACTGTCCCCACAAAACTTTCCTTGTCGTATTCATTACTTGTTTATGCGTAAATCTCCTTTGAGATTATGAGAAATGAATTGGTGTTAACATTCTACTTTTATGCACTGACTGGGCTAATGAAGACAAACATAAGCCATTTAGTGTGCCATTAGGGAAATTTAGCACAGACAGCGGCACTATGACCTACTCTCTTAATTCAAATTCCAACTGACAAGGGTTCATGTGCATGCCAATGTGTACATATTGGACCTCGGTTTCTCATCCCATCCTAACAATTTAAACACTGTTCCTTGTTAGGCCCTCCACAATGCACCACTGATAAGGGAGAAACCACACCAGAAAATCCTGAGGAACTTTCCAACAGCAAGGGAACCCGAGACATCCTGGTTAGCGAGCCAGCACCTCACCCACAGTTCTAGAGAATATGAGAAACCAAGATATCAAGTAAAACCCACTCCTTGTCACACATTCTCAATCACTTGCATGCATAAACATGTATCTCTTTAAACCATTTAGACAGTCAAACTATATATTTTAGGCAAAAATACCTACTTAAGTCAATAATGTGATTACTCATCAAATTTTAGTAATAACATTATAATTATCCCAATCAACATAACTCTAATCTCTTGGCTTTCAAGTGAATAAAATAGAATAAACGACAGTCCTTAGAGTTCACCATCTTTAATTACCTCAGATATTTCCAACATATTGCCTAATTCATCTATTGGATCACCATAAGATTTACCATTGATTGAACATTTATTAAATGTCATTATATTCTAAAAAAAATACACAGAAAAAATCAACATCTATGACATAAATAAATTGTACACGTCATAATATCTATATGAATAGAATCATCTAAACTAGTGAAGTCAGTCCATCAAGAGACTTTGAGCGGTTGCCATGCAAGAAATGCCCACATTTTGCAAGAGATGGAAAAAAAACAAGCTAAAAAAAAAGTGATTTTTTGTACAATCAGGGATCATAATCCAGGAAGTTTGGGTCCGATACGCGCAAATATCAAAAGGAACCCCAATCCTTGGGATATAAACATATATTTTAAGTTTCATCAAAATCTGATCAAAATTGTAACCTCTAGAGGGTCTACAGCCTTGGTTTTACATACTTTTACACTATTTAGGTACGGGGAGTGGCCATTTTGTCAGGCAGTTTCGGTCCAATTTTCAAGAAATTTAACTCACCCGCAATTCGAAAGGTGTTTAAAATTGGATACAAACTGTGACCTGTATGTGGTCACAAGCTAAAACATTCAGAGGCCATAATCCAGGAAGTTACGGTCCAATATATGCCAATATCCAAGGTTTATCAAAATTTGATAAAAATAGTGACCTCTTAAAGTGTCCACAAGCTAAAAACGTGATTACATGTTTCCTGCTTACAGGTATTTCATCGTGCATCTTGAATTTCATGTCAACTTACTTGTGTTAAGGTGCCTGTTTTATCAGAAAATATATATTCTATCTGACCTAATTCTTCATTTAATGTAGTGGTTCGAGCTTTAGCTGGTGTGTCTTTTTTATCATAATATAATTTGACATCCCAGTTTATCCACAGACTGTTTACTAGACGGATTATTTCAACACTAGAAAACAAAATACATTAAAAAGCATTTAAACTAAAGAAGGAAGGTGAAAATTTGTAGTGTGAAAGAGATGTAGTAGTCAGCAAACAATATCAATCATTGTAATATTTATCTATTTTCATCTTTCTTAACGTGCCTTGCACACTGAATGCCTGACAGATTGGTCCTCAGCTTATTTTTCACTAAGAATTGAAATTATTCAGGTGACAAAGAAAACATAACTTTCGGCTAAGATAACTACAGCTTGTTGGGCTTGGTGTGTTTGTGAAAAGAAAGGAAATAAAATGAAATGGGGTTTAACATCCTACTGTTCTGCAATTTGTGGAAAGAAAGACTCCATTTCTGCATGAATTGTACTATTGTTAATAAATATTAATGAAATCAAACTAATTTGTCCCTTCAAGAGAGAATGTCGGGTTTATCACATCTAATCATTTCCTTAATCCTATATCTTAAAGTAATTTGATCGAAATTTTCAATATATTCATTTTTCATTATCTGTTTTTGAATTATTATTGCAAAAACAGACAACTCTTTATATAAATCTTACATAATGCATCTTTAGCTGTGAATTTCAATTGCTTAAAGCTATGCATAATTTTGACCAGATCTGAACAGTAAATCACACCAGTGCACAAAAGGTACAGACCTTACCATGATAAGTTAAAGCGACAATGTAACAAATGAATGAAAATAAAAAAAACCCAAAATATTTATGATATAATCTTACCTCACATAGAGTGATATAGGCACAACTGTATTCAGAATAATAATATAGGACAGAAAGACTAATACTGCAATAGTAGCCGACCCTGTTTCTTTAGATGTAGGAACAAATGATTCCCATGGTAGATAAGCTTGAAAATCATAACCAATAAACGATTCCCAAACTCCACAAGCTACTGTACAGATCAGGCACATGGTCACCAGAAATAAGAAAATCTGAAAAATACAAAACAATTTTCTACCAAAAGTATCTAGAAGTGCCATCTTGCTTGTTAACTTCTATGATAAATTCATATTGAGATAGGTTGCTAGGCAATGACACATATTCCCACAGCAGTTAAGTCATCTGAGCAGTCCACTAACCTTTATGTTCACAAGTCTCTGCAAGGTGAGAGAGAACTGGGTTTAATGTCCACGACACAAACTAGGTCATTTCGGTACTAACATGGTTCAATCTAATTTCAATAATCCGCTGTCGCATAGAGGCCTTTAGCTGTGGGAGGAACCTGGAGAAAACCAACGAGGTTGGGCAGTTGACCCTACTGTTTGTCTCAAACAAGCGGGGAATCAAAACTGCGCCACTTGACTCATTTACAGACCTTATGCTCTAATGTGCATGTGTTAAACCATTTAAGACCGTAATAAATCCATGTTAGCCGGGCGACCCTACTACTTGAAACTGTGGTATCAAAACCATGCCAATTGACTCAATGACAGACCTTATGATCTAAAGAGCATTTTTCAAAATTCCCGTATCCAACCCAGTAATATCACATGTGTTGTAAATTTTGAAGTACATCGTGGGAAACTTAGTTACAAATCCATCCATACATCTAAATTAAATGCTAACAAAGGATGTTTATACTTACACCAATAATAAGCAGATTCATAAGACGATCTATATGTGTTCTCTTAAACTTTGTTTTACCACTATTCATCATTAATTTGGTATCTCGTCCCGCGAATATAACCAATCCATAACACCAAGCAGTGTTACGTAAAATACATCCTCTTAACAATACTTTCTCATTGTCTAAGGAATACTCCTTCCTATTATATGTCAATTTTCCATCAAATTTACTCAATCTATTGTTTGGTGGTTCACATAAAAGTTCAGCTGTCGGGAAAAAAAAAGAAATTATCAACACATGGATAAATTTTGTACACCAAAAATATAAATGTTTTCAATGATGGTTCAGTATTAAAAGACAGAGGCAGCTACTTTGTTTTGCTACAACAAATGGATTGAATAACTCTTGTTTTACACCCTCACACTAGCCATACTTCAGTCAGTTGCATGATGAGTCAATGAATACTATAAGTTCTACAATACAGTGTTTAATATCGATAAAATAATTTGTACATGCACATCATCAGAGTACAACCACATTCTACATGTTATGTGTAGAATCACAAAATATTCTGCCACTGATCAATCAAACAACTGCAGAGGATCTGCCGTTCTTTCAACAATATGTGTAATAAGCTAAAGTTTAATAATTAGCAATTAAAGTAACAAAATATAATAGGTATTTCAAAAGCACCAAACAAGGTATACAGAATGTAGTCATATTGCAAAGTGATAATAAACCTACCAGAAAACTCGCTCATAAGATCATGATTATCTTCCAATTGAGCTGTTTCATCTATAGCCTGTTTTACTTTCAAATTTGTTTCTCTACAAAAATAGAAATTCAATATACATGTACTTCCAACCTGCTTAGGTACTGAGCAATAATTTTGTGAACTAAGAAACTTCACATTTTAAAGGGGATGGTCCACCTACATACAAGTACTGTACTCACAATAGATCAATAATGATAACAACTATCGGAATCAAGTTTTAAAAAACTTTTTAGATGCCTCCATTCAAATAACACAGTAAATAAAAAATTCTGTTAAAGAGATTTGACTGATTGAGGGATGCCATATTAAAGGATCGAATAGTAATTATGACACCACTAATGCATTCTATAATTAAGGGTAGCACTTGAACAGATGTACATTTAGCTTGAATATCAAAACAGATGGGGTGTCTCCTATAATTAAGTCCATGCTTTATAGCAAAACATAAAAACATTTGTGATGTAGATTCCATATATTAAAGGGGCATTATGTAAGATTTAGATAAAGAGCTGGCCGTTTCCGCTATAATATTTCAGAAATTGATGATGCAAAATGAATATATTGAAAATTTCATTCAAATTACTTTGTTTTGAGCAAAGTTATCAATGGTTGTAGTTTTGACAAGATGTGTGCATTGATCGTAACTACCCTACTGGTCATTTGAGTCTTAGTCTTGCTTCTCCATTTTTAAATTAAATCATTAAATGGCTAAACCATTCTAATCTACTTAAAATCGGAGCCATGCAATGGCATAGAGAGTTAATTATGGTCTTGTCATGTAAATAAATGTGTGAAATAGCTTTAATTAACATCCACTTCCACTGAAGTGATATCGCAGACAATTTAAATAAATGTCTAATTAAGAATTTATATAACATTAAGGTCCAAGGATAGACTGCAATATTCAGATTTAGCCCTTACATAATGCCTGTCTAAAATATAAAATGCAAAATTTTTAACAAAATCAATTGAAAATGAGCAAAAATTTACAACTGATTTTAATCAGAGAGAGAGAAATGAAGTTTAACCTCCACTCAACACAAACTAGGTCATTTCGGGACTAACATATGGTTCAATCAATAATTAGCTTGCGGGTAGGGGGTCTTTAGCAGTGGGAGGAAACCGGAGGACCCGGGGAAAACCCACAAGGCTGGACAGGCGACCCAACTCCTTGTCACGTACAACCGGGAAATCGAAACCACACCAGTTGACTCAATGACAGCGCGCACACGCTAACCATTCGGCCATCCAACCCCCCATCTTAATCAGACTGCTGTGCTTAAATATCGAAAATCATTGAAATCAATAACGTTCTTCCTTTTAATATAATAGACAACCAATATAATTTTCACAAAGGTTGGATTATTGAAAATTCTACAGAGTTAAATAGATTTTGTAATAAAGAGGAATAACTCTGGAAGTTATCAAAAATCACAGAAAACCCATATCCATTTTAAACAGATACCTGGATTATTGTATCTTTCATTGTGATAAAAATAAAGGTGAATTGTTATTACTATGGATAAAACACATTCCTTTAAGAAATACTCCAGTGACAAATCTACTTCAGCTGTCGAGCATGAAGAAGTTATACATAAAGTTTATCTTACCCATCTAATTCTGCAGTTTCTATATAACATAAACTGTTTGGTTCACTGGCAGACAGTAATAACAGATCAGCCTGTAGTAATACATCACATAATATATTCTATTATTTAACCTCAATCTAAATATATGGTCAAACCAATTTAATTTTTCGTTTTTTGGAACGTGATAAATAAATATCCACATATGTTGTGTGAACAATGTTTTGTTTAAAATTTCTAAACTTAAATATTTGGAATTAAAAGCTTTGACTCTTGATGAAAACCATGTTTCACTAATCTGTGCTACAAGATAAATATGCTACAAGACAAAGAGTAAAGGAGAAAGTTTACCAGATCCAAACATTTTGTTTTTCAATAGATTCTTGTTCCTTATCATATTCCTAAAATTGAACGTCTATGAGGACAATTCTATAAAAATAGTAACGTCAACAGTTTCTTATATCAGGTTTCATATCAAGTGACCAACAAACAATATGATCACCAAAAAAAAGAACCTACAGAAATCATTGAAGCATAAATGTATACTTACAGCTACAAAATCATTATTATTTAGTTTAATGATGTCACCAACCATTACTTTATGCCATCGTTCTTCAATAAGTTTACCGTCCCGTAATACATATGACAGTCTATTATTAACAATGTCATCATTTTTATGTCTTTGCTATAAGAAAACACAATACATATATATAGTTTTGTAGCATTTCAAACTCAATAAAATTGCATATAACATCAATAATAGATATTCATATTTTTTTTATTATATCAAAATATCACCTAAGTTTAAGGCTCAACATGTAGAAATGTTACGAATATTTAAATGAAATGAAATAAAATCGAGTTTATTGTCCTACTGTTGTGACTGATATTTAAGGGCTTTCATTTACTTTTAAATAGAGATATTAGGCCTAATAACAATTCAAACTGAAAATTTTTCAAATATGTAAGTGCTCAAATTATTTTTTTTAGCATGACAGGAGTAATTAACCTTTTAATTGTATGAAGAGTCCTGGACTATGTCTTCACATGTTAGCATTTTATTTTCACTTTTATTTACAGTGTTGTGTGAAATCTGGTCTCTACTTTGTTTAATATAATCAAAACCAACAGGAAGTATGAAAGTGTGAAGTTTAAGTGTCATGATCACTGAAGGTTGCACATCGTGTGATAAATTGTTGATTCAGTTCTTTCTGTTGAATTTTCTGATTTTAAATAAATACGTATTGTATCATCTCAATTTCTTCAAATTTGACAAAATGTATCGATTCCTGATTTTGAAATTTCAATTATACTGATTAATATAATGATTTCCTATTGATCATTAGGACTTAACAACAAGAAACAGATTTATATGCTTCAACATTTAGTTCAGTTCATTGGCTGTATCTGTTAATAAGATGATAAAATATTGATCTTTCAATATTATATGCTGACACACCTACGTATTAACTTACTTTTAACTATTAATAACATAGTTTGAATATATGGAGTATGAATAATTAGATTATTATAGACCGTATACAAATATGATAATCTATTTCAATATGAAAGCTTGGTTCAGTTATTTCTCAGCTATAATTAGATATAAAATAGTCATATTTATTCAGAGATATGAAATTTCTCTGAAAATAATAGTTATCTTTATTCATTTTTCCTTTTTTGTAATGTACAGACTATTTTCAATATGTCATTCCATTTATTAGATTGAAATAAGTAATAGCAGTATAAATGCAATATACTCCTAAAAATGGCTGTTGTTATTGTTGCAAATAACCCTAGAGACTATACAATATTAGAAATATCTATATCTCTGTAACATATCTACAAGTATATTATGCCCCACAAGTCTAATGACAAATGAAAACATTGATTTATTAATTAGCCAAAGAAATTTAATTAGCTGTAATCTGATTAGAGTAGAATAAGAAAAATAAATTCAAATGCATGTAATGTTATATTTTTGCCTAATATATCTGATGGCCAAGTTAATGAAATTGAATAATTCTACTAAATACGGTGATTAATCAGAAATAGCTGTAAACATGTAAAGCAAATGTCAAAGAGGGATTTAATATGAAATAAAACATGTACACGTTTTTTCCTTTATTACACAATGAATCATGTTTTTTTTATATATGATAGAAAAATGAAATAAAATTTAGTGTTAAATCATCCTAATTCTCTGCACTAACTAGGATAATGAAGAAGGGCACACTGTAAATCCAACGGACGCCTGATGCATCCGAGTGTGTTCTTATTAGAACATTTAGCGTTGAAATGTGAACAAGTTATTATAATGTTCACGTATGAACACTGCAGTTCTAAAATATACGCAAATCCTTAAAATCCATTCAAATCTGAACATATTGTCTGCATTTTCCTTTCAATGGTCTTTGAAATCATTCACACTTAGAACACATTGGACACCATTTGTTCCAGGAAACCAAATGGCGTATTCAGTGTTCTAAAAAACGACGCCAGGTTTACAGTGCATGTGCCATTTTGCACAGAGAGTGGCGTTTCCGCCCAATCTTCATCAAATTCCAATTGTCAGGGGATTGTTTTATATGCACACCAATGTGTACATACGTCAATTAATTTTCCATTCCATCTGAATGACTAGACGCTCCTTGACAGGCCTTCTGTCCTGTACCACTGACTAGTGTTGAAAATCCTCAAGAAGTTTCTCGGCCAACACCAAGATCAAACCCGACATCTTGTAAGTGAACCAGCGTCTTACTCACTGAGCCACTGGGGTTTCCTTTATATGCCAGACAAAGCAGATTGTTAATACAATGTAGTATCTGATAGAAGTTATTACATGTGGTTATATATCCCTCTTTGACAAGTTATGTGCCATCTGATTTCAGTCTTTGTTCAAAGTTGGATTTTTCTGAACATTAATTTTTCTAATAAAATAGATAATTGAATAAATATTCTATTATTCATATGTAATACCAAAATACTCTATTTCAATCTCTTTACAAAATAAATTTGTAAAACCACTTATGATATGGTCTGTATTGTATACATTATTTCAGTCCAATTATAAAACAACTGAAAACATATAAAAAAAAACCCTACAAAACAATAACATTTTATACATTTTATATGCATTAATAATAAATTGGAAAAGCAATTTTGATATTGGTTAGGTGTGCTACTATTGTGAATGACTATTAAAATACTTAATAGCATGAACACAAATACAGTGAAGTGATGATATGTGTATTTTTATTCATTTCTTAATAGAGAAATCCAACTTTTAACAAACGGGGCAGCAATGATTTATCAAATATTATATTTTGGATTGTCAATCATAATTTCATGTACATTTGTATAGTCCCATGAATAGAATATTACCAATTCCATTCAAACAACACAATCCGAAAAAAAAAAAAACAAAGTATAAAATAAACCTGAGGTTAACTCACAAAATCATCCACCGCATCCTTTATGGCGGTTACGAGCAGTACAGCAACAAGGGGGATGACGGTAGTAAGCGGAGTCAAAGAAGATATAACTGGCAGCAACTGACAGAGAAAAACCATTGTCCATTTGGTATTAAAATCAAAATAGAACAGATCTAACATACATTGGGGTAAGAGAGGGGGGATAAATAAAGATAGAAACAGGAGAATCTGAAGAGGATATTAATCAAATTATAACTAAAGTGTTCTAATATTTCTACTTATGTGGTCACCTGGAAGTGTTCTTTAAAGCGACATTCTATATCAGAAAATGTTGAATGATATTTGTTGGTACAATAAAAATTCAATATTTTCTTATGAAATGTCACTTCAATCTTCTACAATAGTAGTGTTTTTAAAGATATATTAAACTGCGCTTAACAAGTTTGAATTTGTCAACCACTGACATACAGCCTGTTGTAGCAAATTAATGGAAAACAGTAATTGTCACTGTTTTTAACCAATCTTTTGAATTTATGGCAAATCAAACTCTTTTCTCCATGGACTGTAGCATAATCACAGTTCATATTGTCAAAGGAATATATCTTTAAAAAAACAATTGCAACCAATAAACAGTTTCTAATAAGACTAGATACCATAAAGAAACATAAATATATATTGTCTATTATTATCATGAATTAAGCTTACATTACAAGTTAGTAACAAACATTTAGTATTGTCATACAAGCTGTTTTTGTTTATTTAATGTATTATACCCCAGTGCATGTGGACAAAGAACACTATGGGTCATGATATTAAAAAAGTAAATCAAATTGACTGTTTCCTTGTATCAAACCGAGCTACAAGTTTACAGTTTTCAAAATCCATTTTCGATGTTCTATGAACATATCACAATAACTAATGAAGACAATTTATATTTAATATTATTTCTCCTTGTTCTGTTAACAAAATCAAAATAAGATTCATAAGTGATAACATAATGTGTGGTATCTGAAAATAAAAACATATGATTACTGTATTCATTGCATTTACATATAATGTATTAAGGACGTGGGCTCTTGCATTGTTATCATACTCTGTGTCCTCTACTCAAATAATCATGCAATAGCTGAATAAATAATTAAACTGCATGTATTTATAATTTTTTTGTACCTGGTTGGAATAATCATTCAATGGTGGTTAATAACCATGCAACAAACACAGTAATTATGTCATATAATGTTGAAAAAGACTACATGGGATTAGAAACATTATACAGTGACAGTGCAAAGACAACAAGCACAAACTAAAGCAAGAGACAAGCAAAAAGGTAGGTAACGCTGTGAGATGCAATAGTGAAATTACAACCATATTTTTACTTTTGACACTTACAAAGTCATCAAGAGCATCCTTGATGGCAGAAATACTGAGTACAAAAACCAGGGGTATGACGGTAGCTACTGGATTGAGAGATGATACGGCTGGAATTATCTACATATAACCAAAATATTGTTAGTTTACACACAATACATGTATATGACAGCATAACATCTCAAACAGGTACACAAAAGTTACGTTACATAAATAGTACAAACACGCATTCATTTGTACAAAATTTCAAAGTCATTTTTTCTGGGGGATGCTTTTCTTGAACTGTCATTTTACATATGCGAATTGTTTTCTAATAAGCACCTTTTCCTAATATTAAGCAATTTTGCTCTAACAGAATCTCATTAAGGTGTATCTTGTGTCCTAGAACTGGAAGTGGTCTTAATTAACAGAATTTCAAAGAAAAAAAAATACTCAAGAACACTTATTCTTTCCAATATGCATGTACATGTAAATTACGTATGACTGTCTTAAATTCCCTGAAATATACCTTCAGACATGACAGATATCCTATTCCGTTGGATATTAGACGACTGGAATTGATTTCAATGATCAGTGTCAAAGACTCAGGACTATAATTCTTCAAGCCAGGGAAGTTTGAACATGCCATACATATTAAATAGATTCCAGCATGCCTGTTTACCGTATCTATGGCCTAACTATGTAGATAATCAGTAGAGCTGTTTAGTAGTCATTCCATAATTATGAAGACAGACAATATTGATCTCATATACACATGCTGGCTAACAAATCACATTCATATAGAATCAATAATCAATCACACTCACTCAATATACATGGAAATAAATCATTACATCATGCTTATAGAAAATCCTAATAATAATCATGCCAGTAATATACATTTAAAATTAACATCATACCATAAAAAGAAATATCATTTATGCTGAGTTTAATGCATGTCATTGATGTTAATGACCAGTTTCAACTTGAAAATAGCGCGCAAATAACCTAGTATTTTCTACTTGCAAACACAATTGCCATAATAACTTTCAAATTTGAATGTAAACAGTGTGATCTGTACACTGTAATCAAAGAGCTACTGTCAAGATAAAAACTAGTAATTCCTGAAAACCAGGTTCGATTCAAAAGCAGCATCAGGTCTTGTTTAATCAACCATAAATTTATTTCATTTCTCATGTCAGAAAAAGTTTGCCAATAGACACAAAAACTAAATCAAACCATCAATGTACTTGTCTTTTAGAACAAATTTATAACAGAGTTCCCTCTTAATGCCATGACATATCTGTAGGGATGATAATTACTAACCCTTGACTAAACAAGACTACCGTATATAGGCTATCAAAATATCTGAGAAGGTTTCAATACCTGAAAATTGCTACTGAAATATTTAGTAGTTATTTATGTGTGGAATAAAATTATTTTCAAAAAAACTCTATACATGTTGTTACATGTACATGATCTCATTTATTTATATCAAATGAAAAGGCATTAAAGATCCGAGTAAATAATCTAAATCCCATATATTTATATAATTGCTTAAAAATCAACTTCACAATTAATGGAGATTATTTTTGTACTGGTATAATAATTTCAATAGCAGTTTCGGCAATAAAATTTACCTTATAATAATTACAGATATCATTTATTAAATTTCAGAAAAATGTTAAAAGATTCACAAGTACACTAGTATATCTATGTTACTTTTAAGCTTCAAATAAGATTTATAATTCTTTAAAATTTTCTTCAAGAGAAAACTACTGCATTCAGCATAACCACTTGCCTCCCAATAATCAGCCATCAGCCAGGTTTTGGTGGGTTTTTTTTTTAAATTTTGAGGGTGAGTGTGGGGGGCTGGGCGAAGAGTGTAATTTGGTCCACTTATAAACCAGTTAAAAAAAACCAAAAAAAACAATGATCGCCTAACAGTAACCTCCTTGGGTGATAAATGTAGAATAGGCCATAGTGTGTACCACAAATATAGACCAGTATGATATACATCCTGATTTTTAAATTTTTTTTTGTTCTATTTTGTTCCAATAGGCAACCCTTTAAGCACCAAGGTGTTTATTAAATCGAATAAGGTAAGCTATATCAGTGTACTTTAGATCTTTAACGAACATAAAATACATATATTGTAGTACATATAAGGCAACACAAATAAAATAAGTTGTTTCTCGGGCACCGCCGCACGCAAAATTGGTTGCGCGTGCGGCCTATTTATTAGTCTTGAGGAAAAATAAAAAATATGTAACGCCCGCCCGAACATCGATAAGCAAGTCATAAAAAGAATATGCCGCATGTATCTACATGCCCCATACGTGAATATCCATTCAAATGTATTAAACTGATTCAGATGCAAACGCTCATTTACAGGTCTTTTTTATTGATATCGAAAGAACCTCCATTTTTGTATCACATGATTTTAATTACCTCCCCTTGTGAACTAGAATTTGATTCTTGTTAAACACCGAAAGTCATTGACAACAATGCAATGTATTTCAATCATTCGATCTTAATCGGCTCATTATTGCCGGCTTCAGTCGGTCCATGTTTGAAAAAATCCTACTTATAAAACAATGAATCATAGAACAGGTTAATTATTATAACTTGTGGCTACGAATACGATACGATGATAGTCACCATACCTTAGTCAGAATCTGGGTCATTAGCACATTTAACGGTAGTTTTGATAATCCGGAAAATAATAATTGGATTACACATTTGATGGTTTTACTGACCAGTTGTTAGTTAAATTTAAATAGTCATTCGATATAAACCCCAGATAGAACACTGAATATCATGAGAAACACACCGAATATCCTAAGAAACAGTCAATTCCCGAATCCCGATGACACATGACATGCATTGGTTGGAATTAGGTCAATCATTATAAACCAGCGATACTAGATTTAGATCTAAGTGTCGTTTACTGTGATGATTATTTTTGATACACATGCTGACAGAGGCTTTCTCTTTAAAATATTGTCGTTATTATGGACGTCTATTAATAGTCGTACGGAATTTTATTTTAAACCAATTTTAATTATGGTTGTCACCATTACCATTAGTAAGCTACATTACGTGAATTAAATATGGAAAATTATTTTCCTTTCAGTCAGTGTTCAGTGTTTGAGTAGACTTGATTTTTGGGTTTATGTTCTAAGTATGTATAATATATAACTGAAAGCAAAACCGTAGACGAGTAATGACTTTCTCATTAAAAAAAAAAAAAAATACAAGGCCGCCCTCCCATCCCAACAATTTTCAACAATAGCCAAATTTTATTTTGCACCATCCTCTAGCCAGAAATGAGGTAAACCCCCCCCCTCCCCCCCCTATAGTTTCAGCTGTCAGTTGCCCGAGAAACAAGACATTTATTTTGTGTAGCCTAATTGATTTTCTTTACCATGTAATATACGCATGTAGCCATATAAAATCCAATTAACCACTTTACAAATTACATTTTCCTGTTTTGGTGGATTAAGGAAATACCCTCGTTGGTAGAGTTACACATGTTATTCATTTTACCCTTATGTGTTTATGATGTGAACACAACTCACGATTAATTCAAAACAAACAACCTATACTTTTGAATCAAACTGTTACAATATATATATTTTACTTCACTTGGCATCAATATCTGGATTATGGACACCACTAAACATTGAACTTAAATATATTGAATTAATGTTACATACCTGTAATATAAGTAAACCTAAGAAATAGGCGTTGGCCAAACGCTGAAACTGTTCAAATAAATTCTTTGGTAGAAATGTAAAGATATTATATTTGGATGTACTGATGAAATTATTCTGTAAAAAAAAAAAATAAAAAAATAGTGAGATTTAGTAGAATTCACAGAATTCACAATATATCCAATTCATTAAAACCCATCTTAAAGATGTTGAAATAACAGTATTTTCTATATTACTGCTAACATCTACCAGAAAATGTTAGCCATGCGACCCTTTCCCCTTTTAATTCTATTTCTGTTTTCCTGTATTCCATTTTCAAATAATCAGATTGTGGGACTATCAGACCTGCAATTCTGATCATTATGCTGCAGACATCTACCCGTTACTAAAGAAGAGTGATTCTCAACAAGTGTGCCGCGGCACACAAGATCTTCCTAAGTGTGCCACGAAATTTTTAACGGCACACTAAGAAACTGTAAAAAAACATGTAACCACAATCAAGTATTCACTGGTGTCTACTGATAAGTTCGTAGCTGTGTTTTTCTTTATTTAGTTTGAGTCATTCTATGTGTCTATTACTAGTCTCTGTCTACAGTAGTATTCAGTCTGACTTACAATGTTTTTATTTTGCAAAATTCAAATACTTTTCATATATACTCTTCAAAAAAAGTAGGGGATATTCAGAAACAATACAAAACTGCGGAAATGCACTTCTGTTTTTATTAGAGGTAACCAGTGTATGTTAATAACAGGCCAATTGCCTACACATGAACATAAACAGTTCATTTGGGCGGCTTATCTGACGGCCCCATTTCACTCGCAAAGAGATACACATTCAAAAGTGAAAATAGATGTTTTTGATTTTTGTCTTAATAATGAGTAATTGCTCCACCAATCCTCAGACATTCAGCAATTCGTCGTGGCATGCTCCTAATCAACCGTCCAATCATGATTTGGGGCAATCTGACCCGCTCCTCTTGCTGTGCCACAGCCAATTCTTGCAGTGTTGTCGATGGACGTTGATGTCGACGAACACGTCTCCTGATCATGTCCCAGACATGCTCTATAGGGCAAAGGTCCGGACTCATGGCTGGCCAAGGCATATGGACAATATGGTGATGCTAGAGCACGGGGGGCATGGGCATTATCATCTTGAAAGATGAAACGTTGACCTGCACGTTGAGCAAACGACAGAACTATCGGTGCCAGTCATGGTGATTCCTACTCACACCATAACAGACCCACGCCCGAATCTGTCATGCTGTTTGACGTTAACGTTAGCATGACGCTCATTTACATGGTTCCAACCACAAGCACGCCTGGACTTATCTGAGAACATTACACGAACCCATCAACGATTACCCCAATTTCTACGCTGCCTACACCATTAACGCCTATTTATCGTGTTCTGGCGAGTTAGCCGATTTCTAATTGTTTGGGATATAACTTGGTACAAGTTTACAGAAAGCTGATTAGCCGTTTGTCCATGATTTCGCAGGACCTGTGTACGAATGTATCAATCCTGGGCTTGTGTAGTGGCTCTAGGACGACCTGAATGATGTCTATCATTAACATTGTGTGTTTGATGGTACCGGTTCCACAGTCTGCTGATCACAGACTGTGACACATTAAGCATGTTGGCTACTGTTGGCTACTGCTCGCTGTGTAGAACCCATTTGAAGCATGCCAATAGCACGAAGACGTTCATCATGTTGAGGACATCTCATTGCAAATTAAACGTAACACACTAAAGCAAAGATATGCTAAACAGTATATCTTATGCAAGAACCAATAGGAAAGCAAACATGGATAGGATAAACCAAAACGTGGCAGTTTTCATCAACCCTTCCTTGAAATGTCAAATTTGCCAATGAACCCCTCCTACGTGTATGGCGCTATTGCGTGTCACAGGTGCAGCTCAGTGGTTCTGTTAGGGCGATAAGTACTTCATCTGTGAACATACCCTCAAAGTATGTCAAGTGTCCATGTCAATTTATCATTTCACAACCTGCATAGGTATTTGCATTTCAATATCCCCTACTTTTCTTCGAAGAGTATATATTTAGTCAGGTGTGCCACTATTTTTTCATGTGTTCCAGGTGTGCTGTTGGCAAAAAAAGGTTTGAGAACCACAGCTATCGAAGCTGCATCGCCAAAAATTACATGCTCAGTAAAAACTCATTAAATGACTTTGCATGGGACAAGTAGAATTCTTTGAAATTTTTCCAGTCTGCGGCCCATTTTTTAAAAAGTTCAATTTCAAATCAAGACCAATTAAACTAAAGACCAGGCTATGCTTTAAGAAGAAACGTAATTATTTTATATTTCTAAAATACTCGCCACCCCTCCCTCCTTGTGTTTATTTTATTGTACATATCATGGATAAAAAGAACTTATTTATATGTACTGCTATGTTCAATCAATTCATTTGTATACCTCAATAAGAAATCTGACATAAGATTTCTACTTTTACAATGCACAAGGAAAGTGGCTGGCTACTTTAATTGATAATATCAATAATAGATAAAAACAACTATCTTTATGTATAGTAGTAAAATAATACACACTCATCACCATGGCTGCTGATGGACTGTTATATTGTTTCTTCAACATTTACCTTAACTACCTGTCTATGTTTATCAATATAGAAGAAAGAACATGTGGATCTATTGTTATATGTATCTATACATTTTACTCTTCACCTCAATAACATAATACATACTCATATCAAAATGCTATTTATATTTTTCCCAATCTTAACTTCCCTTGAACATATCTGAATAAGCACCCAAGCAACACATATTGGCCAAATTTGCTGAAATCCATCAATCATGTAGGACAAGAAATGGCAAGTGTATACAAAGTAACATGTAACAGAGAACAAACAATGGACAGGTGCTTATTGTTTATGAGAGAGAGAGAGAGAGAGAGAGAGAGAGAGAGAGAGAGAGAGAGTGATGGGGTTTAACGTCCACTTGACATAAACTAGGTCATTTCGTGACTAAAATAGTTAATTTTATTTCAATAATTCGCTTGTGCGTACAAGTCTTTAGGAGTGGGAGGGAATCGGAGGACCCAGAAAAAACTCACGAGGTTGGACAGGCGACCCTACTCCTTGTCACGTACAATCAAAACCACGCCAGTTGACTCAATGACAGACCTTATGATACAACGCGAATGCGCTAACTATTCAGCCATCCAACCTCCCAGGTGGTTACGGGTTGTTTTTTTTAAATATATTTTAACAGACTTGTGGCACATATATGATATTCAAATAAATTTTAAAATCTCCAAAGTATGTCAACACTAGACACTAACGTATCGGAATATAAGATATCTCTTTTACGAGTCTACAGTAATTACATGTAATGCTGCATAGATTCGAGCCCAGCCATTCTCAAGAGGAATTATAAGAAAAAAAGGAAAAGTCGTTCACCTCGAAAGAAATGAAATGAAATGGGGTTTAACGTCCTACTGTTCTGCTCCTATACTGGGCTAATGAAGACGGGCATACGCCATACAGTGTGCTATGAGGGAAATTTTGCCCGGGCAGCGGCACTATCGCCTACTCTTATATCGAATTCCAACTGCCAGGGGATCTTTTACGTGCATTCCAATATATACACGGGACCTCGGTTTTTTGTCTCATCTGAAGGACTAGACAGCTGTCCTTGTCAGGCCCTCCGTTCTGCACCACTGACAAGGGAAAACCACGTCGGAAAATCCAGATGAACTTTCTCGGCCAATGCAGGGATCGAACACCCGACCTCCAGGCTAGCGAGCCAGCGTCTTAACCAACTAGCCGCCGTGGCCCCCGTTCACCTCGACATTATGTGCCAAGATTCACTATATTATATGCCCCACATGCCAATAATTTTGGTCGGTTTATGTTGAAAAACACTGACAGGAAGCACAAAAACATCGAAGCAGACGAATTAGATGTCACTTGCAAGCTGTCAATCAAATCATGTGATCTAAACAACTAGCCATGTGGCATGAAGTGGGTCACAGCGTATTGTTCGGTTTGAGTGAATTTGTGAATTTACGCGACAACTTTGTGTACTAAATGTTAAAAAAGATAGGTTGCCAGGCAACAAAACATACGCCCACAGCAGCTAAATCGTCCGGGCAGTCAACAAATGTTGTCGCATATTTTTACTTTTTTCGGTAATGAAACATTTATAATACACTAAAATCTGATTAAGAATAACAACTCATGAAGTAATTATCAGAAAACCATTAGAATTTGTTTGGTTTTTATAAAGTTCTGCCCCATGCTAACATTTAGTATACGAAACTTTTAATATCATGGATTTAGCTGTTCAAGTCTTTTATAAAAATTCATTGAAAATCTATATACTTGTTCGTCTCAAGATCTTAAACTCTGTGTATCAATCTGAAGTCAATCTGATGATAACTTTAGCCTCTAGAGCGTCCACAACATTTTTTGAAGTGATCAAGGGCCATAACTCTGGCAGTAATTATCTAAAATTGCTGAAAATCAATAGACTTTTTCGTCTCATGGCCTTAAACACTGTATATAAATTTAAAGTCAATCAGATATTAACTTTAGCCTCTAGAGCATCCACAAGCAATTGTAGACGGCGGACTGACGGGGGCGACGAAAATATACAACCACATTTCAATGTGGGCGTATAAAAACCATAAATTCGTGTTTATAATATCCTAATAAACAGCCCATTTGATCAGATGTTTGGCCAAATAACAACGCATGAACAAAATATGGCACTAAACTTATGCCAAATCTGCATGCTTAATATACAGACCAGTGAGCATTTTGAACCAACTACATCACTTGCGGTTTAAATAAAAAATTAATTTCTCGCTTACAAAAACTTTTTTGCTTGTGTTATAGAGGGGATTATTTCTGAATAAATATTTAAGATTTATGGAAACCTTGTTGAAAAACGTTGGTCTTCCCCTTTAATACAGATTCTAATGTAGTTATTGTGTCCCAAAGCATCGAAAAATCAAATTGTTTTTTGATTTTTTTTCTAGAAAGTAATGTTAGCTTTAGATAAGCATTATGTTAGGATAGATCCATTTGAATAATTTTATATCAATATGACTTTCTGAAGAACAATTTTTAGATCACTATAACTTTTAGAGGAACAATTCTGATTATGTATCTCACTGAAATTACATGATTTGTAGATGGACCTGAAATTTTTCCCAATGTGAAATAACAACAGATCAAGTATTGAAGTTATTTAGTTCATTTGCCCTAAAAGCCAGATCAAATCAAGTTTTGAAGTAATTTAGTTCATTTTAAAACTAATTTAAGCTTATAGACAGATCAAATTAAATTAAATCTACATATACACTGGGTCCCTTTAATTCATAAGATAATTAGGTCATAAACTAACAAGCCAACAGTGAGGCTGATGTCCCTCGCCGAAATCCCAAAATAAATAGATGACACATATTAATTAATCGCACATTTAATTTTTTCAAAAGTATCGAGCAATCAAACCATACACTGAGTTTCATCACTCTTTATCAGATAGAATCAAAATTATCTTGTCCCAAAGCATCGAAAATGAAATTGATTAGCTCTGCTAGCTTTAGCTCAAAATGTTAATGAACTCAGTCAAGACATTCACCTAATGAGTTTAAACATTCTACCTCAATTAAAAGCAGAGTTGTTATGTTCCAAAGTCTTGACCAATCAAATTGCTTATTGCTCCAGAGTCTAGCGTCAGCTCGAAATGTTAATCATTGAACTCAGTCAAGACATTCACCTAATGAACATCTACATCAAGTTTAACCATTCACCTAATAGACACCTACACCAAGTTTGAACATTCTACCTCAATTAGAAGAAGAGTTATTGTGTTCCAAAGTCTCAACCAATCAAATTGCTTATCACTCTGCTTACCCTCAGCAAAAAATGTTCACCAGCGACATAAGTGAAGGTATTGATGTAATAAAGCTACATGTATACACCAAGTGTCCTCACTCTCATTTAATTAGAACTAAAGTTATTGTGTCCCAAAACATCAACCAATCAAACTGCTTACCCTAAGCAGAAAATTCTCATCTATGAAATCCATCAAGGCATTGACTTAATAAACACCTACATCAAGTTTGAACATTCTGGTTCAATCAGGGGCGTGCTGGCAGGGAGTTTAGGAGGACGGTGTCCTCCCAGGCCCCCATTAAACAATAAGTCCACCCGTATAAGCGGGCCCCCCTGAGAGCTCTAATTTTCACGCGGAATCCCCTCAAAAAATTGAGAGTGCGCACGCGAAAAATCATACATACACAAAGATTAGTAAAATATATTATGCTGACGTGCAAATGTCTGTCACCTTAAGGTGAAATGGTCTTTGATTAAAACAATTGGTGGTGCTGATAGCATAATTGCATTTCCTGCATTTTTGTGTTAGTATCATGTCTCATAGAGACTAAAGATTCATACATGTATTCATGCCTCGATATGTATAAGATGCAATTTATTATTTGGATAGAAATACATTGTATTAGCATTATATTAAGCAGACCTGTGATGAGTGTCTTGTGTAGTACAGTAGAATGTCTTATAGTCAAAATAGCAGCATAAATTTGGAAAATATGATACCTAGATTTCTCCCAGAAGTGCTTGCAAAACGCGTTTCCCGTTGTCAAATTTCAAAAATTTTCTGAGGGGAGAACCCCCACAGACCCCCCTACCAGCAGGCCATTCTTCCTGGGCCCTTCGAAAGGCGGGGGACAATTAGTTTGATATCTTTAAATATCATTATACAAGTCATTTGTTCAGTATTCAGAAGAACAAGTCTTGATATCAATACTTGTAGACTTGGTTATTTGAAATAATAAACAATATTAATCAATATCACCTGCTTAACCCTATATATCATATTAAAATATATAAACAACAATCTAGAATAATGCTGGTATCATGAGTACAGTTCATTTTACTGAGCAAGTTTTATTCAAATATAGTTCAATAAAATATTGCACGACACAAGCAGATTGGATTCACAGTGAGGAAATGTCAACCAATGTCACTACAAATATGTGCCATTCTCATGGATAATCCATGCTAATATGTACTCAGATTGATAATTTAACATTTAATTAAGAAAACAAAAAACAAAATACCAATGCTAGATAATGTCCCGGCTTGGAATCAATCGGATTTATAACAGGCCTATCATGAAATTTTTGTGGACAACAAAATGGATGCAGGCTTATCTCATAGCGAGCAACATAGATTGAGGCAATTTCAATTCCCCATATCTTTGTAAATACTGAACAGAAATGAATCATTAATGGACTGAAATTCCAGTTTACAAGTGATTCCTATTGCTTAAACTGGCACATCAGGACTTGAATGAATAATAAAATGTTACTTACTGCATATTCATATTGAGCATTGTGCTCTGGATCATTAGATTTAATTCTTCTTTCAATTTCTGAAAAAAAAAAAAAAAAAATTTACATAAGCATTCCTATTTTAAAACTATCAATTATCCGGAATTGCAAAATTAAATTGTATATTGTAAATGAGATGTATATCTACAATCATTCATTAATATACATGTTTTGTTTTTATGGCGTCTCAGTATAAATAAAACTGACCTAAATCATAACTTAAGCAATATAATGTAACATATCAAATATATGATAAATCATATTCTTCAGTGATAAAATTCATGTAATACATATATTACATGTACATGCCAATTACGATTAATAGAGATATTAGCATTAATTACCAACACAGATATTAATTGGGATTTTTATGATCGCTCTCATGGTCAATTTTTATCACCAATGGTTTGAGACTATGAAATATTTTCAGTCACCCAACCCATTCCTTCCATGTAACTCAGCATGGTTCCCCCTTGTCAATGGTGTAGGATGGAGGACCTGGCAAGGGACAACGTACAGTCTTTTGGAAGGGATGGAAAACAAAGGTCCCATGTACACATTGGCGTGCACATAAAAGAACCCTTGCAAGTTGAAATTCGAAATAAGAGTAGGCCGTAGTGCCGATGTTCGCACAAGATATTTATGTCATAGTTAACAGCAAGGTGTATGCCCTTCTTCATTAGCATGCATGTGAAGCTCATTATAAAGAAAACTGAACTCTGAAACTGATAACATTTACTGATTAAGCAGGTAAGCCTCATGGGACTACTCCAAAATAGCCTCACAGTTGTGTATACTGTATACATGTATGAAATAAATCAATATAAATATTGACTTTCTAATATTACATGTTTTAAGTCATTTATCTGGTTAATATACATACATGTAAACTATAGTACACTATCCTAATACAAAAATAATATATGAAACAGTCCCATCCTTTTTCTCTTCCTTCAAATTTAATGCACTATTATCACATGTTGTTTTTGCTAACCTCCAGGTACAATGGCAGATTTAGGGAGAGAGAGAGAGAAATGGGGTTTAACGTCCACTCGACACAAACTAGGTCATTTTGGGACTAACACATGGTTCAATTTTATTTCAATAATTCATTGCGCGTAGTTGTCTTTAGCAGTGGGAGGAAACCGGAGGACCCGGAGAAAACCCACGAGGTTGGACAGGCGACCCTACTCCTTGTCACGTACAACCGGGGAATCGAAACCCCGCCAGTTGACTCAATGACAGACCGTTTGATACAGCGCACGCGTGCTAACCATTCGGCCATCCAACCCCCCGGCAGATTTAGGATAGGATATGGACTAGGGTACACACATCCACCAACTTATTTGTTTTTCAAAATAATCTTTAATAACTTAAATAAAAGCCACAATGCTGAACTTTGTACGTATGCAATTTAAGCGCCAAAATCCAGAGGAATGGTGTATTTACCTTGTCTCAAGATTTCAGCTCAAAATATTGAGTAGTTTGGACATGAACATCAAAACTGCTTATCCGGACACATAACCCTTTTAAGATTCGGGTCAATTTTTTCGGTTGGTGACCTAATAATCCATTGCCGTTCCTTTGGACGTCTATACAGTGCATCACCCAAGTGCTGTACTTAATAACGAAAGGTAAATTTCACCTACACGTTATCTTTATTTAAAAAAAAGGTCTGGTTTTATCCAATGGCCTTTAACATAAAATTAAGCAGTTTTATTCTCCAAAGTATAATTGAGATTTACCCTTTAATGTCTAATTAATAATTTATATAATATAACACAGGCATTTAAAATAACACAGCCTGTTAAAAATTTTGAGTAAATTCTTAAATGAAGTCTGAGAATGCTTTGTGAACTTGGGGCCAGGTGGCCGTAACAAACTCAGCAGTAAGTTAAGGTTCTTACACCAATGCGATTTTTTTTTAGTAATTATTTCCGGTCTTGGATTACTGCCTGCATTAATATTTCTATATTATATAATATGCATTCAAAATAACCAGTTTTTACAAGGAATTTAACAGTGTTATTTATTACGTATTTGGTGCCAATATTACTGACAATTTTGCCTTCCATGAAAAGTTGTCCTGAGAATAAAACTTTAGGTCAAAATGTTATTGAAATTATTAGACATTAATTAAATTATCCAGACCATAATAAACTCTCGATGTCATTGCAAGCCTGCGATATTTATTGAATTAGGATTCGATTTGCTGCTCAACTTTCATTCATGATTAAATCATGAAATGGATAATCGAGACTATTTTTTTTATCGTACCGACTTTAGTAATGATGATCGAGGCTAGGCTGAAAATTCAATCGCTAAATTTTCAGTTCACAATGGATCAATTTGACTGAAATTTTCAGCAAATTCCCTTTACACTATCTAGTTTTTAACTATTATAATGATAACTGCCAGCTCTTTATCTAATCTCCCATAATGTATCTTTAAGTCTTGGGAATTATTCACACTTTGTGATGGAAGAAAGGCGAGTTTAAAATAACTTCATAATAATAATAACCAATTCTACATGTATTTTACAAATGAATTAATTGTTCTATTTATTTAGTATTTGTGGCAGTATTTAATGATGACATGACATTTCAATGATTATTGTGTTATGGGGTTACGAAAATGTAATTAAAAAATATTTCTCAGCTCTCTGTTAGTTGACATTGTCGGCTAAATAATACCTTTTTGCATAGCAATTTTGTTGATTTTACATCTCTTGCCAGGTATTATAGAATATTCATGATTTTGAGATGGTGAGATAACAGAGAGAAAGAGGGAGATAGAGAGGAAGAAATGGGGTTTAGGTCACTCAACACAAACTAGGTCATTTACGGACTAACATATGGTTCAATTTTATTTCGATAATTCGTTTTGGCGTAGGGGTCTTTAGCTGTGGGAGGAGACTGGAGGACCTGAAGAAAACCCATGAGGTTGGACAAGCAACCCTACTCCTTGTCAAATTCAAGGCGGGAATCAAAACCATGCCATTTGATTCAATGACAGACCTTGTGATTTCATGCGCACACATTAAACCACTAGACCCTCCACCCCCTGAGAGATAACAAGTTAAAGGGTTGTTTACATTGAAGTATTTACTAATATGTGACTTCCATTTTGTGTACCTCAAGACTTCCATGGGGAACATTATGCTGTTGAGTAAGGCATTGCCGATGCTGTAATAGTTTCCCAATTTTCCAATCAATATTATATACTATTTTTATTAATATCAATTTTATTGCCATGTACGAAGAGAAAGACTCAGTCTGATTAAAATACAGATCTATATTCCGTTTCGTTTTTTTATTCCTTTGATGGCCTACACTACATGAAGATCTGACCAGTTGTACTGGAAGGTCATGCCAGAGGTTGTACAAGCGGCTTTTGACCCTATGGCATCAGACATTGATTAATCAATCAGTGTTGACGTTTCTGGTGGTTTACTCAAAGTTCCGTGCATCGTACACCAAGAAGTCGCTGTAACAGATGGTTTCATTGGCTAATCTCTCGCGCCATCCAGAACCCAGGTTACATGTATATAACAACTCTTCCAGATCCTAGTGTAATACAGACAAATAAAACGAAATTTTGAACTATTATAAACGAAACGAAATAGGATCTGTTTTAATCAGATTGAGAAAGACTAATAGTTCAAAATGAAAACAGTATTAAGATATAATAATGTCATCTTGGACTTATAAATCTAAATAAACCATGTCAATCAAAGTAAATATCAGCTTACATTTTTCTATGGTCACTGATAAGATACAATAGACAAGATGATAACAATTTTAGCAAACATTTGTGCGATTTCTATAAATACTGCTCAACTGCATATTTGACTATGATAAGCAATTAATGGTGAACAACATTAGAATGTGAACAAATAAAATCCACCCTTTATTGTATACATTGGATTGCTGATCTAGACTAATCTAGAGAGTTGATTATGGGCTTCTTATGTTAATAAATGTCTAAACAAGCCAAAATAAATAGAGGACACATTTTAGTTAATTGCACATTTATTTTTTTTCAAAAATGTCAAGCAATCAAACTGATCATCAACTATACACTAAGTTTCATCACTCTATCAGATAGAATCAAAGTTATCTTGTCCTAAAGCATTGACCAATGAAATTGCTTAGCTCTGCTTAGCTTTAGCTCGAAATGTTAATCATTGAACTCAGATAAGACATTCACCTAATGAACATCTACATCAAGTTTAAACATTCTACCTCAATTAAAAGCAGAGTTGTTATGTTCCAAATTTGACCAATCAAATTGCTTATCTCTCGTTAGCCTAAGAAGAAAATTCTCATCATCGAACCTAGTCAAGGTAATGATATAATGAATCTATACTCAGAGTTTCATCACTCTCACTTAATCATAACAAAAGTTATTGTGCTCCAAAGCATCAATCAATCAGATTACTTATCTCTGCTTACCATAAACAGACATCGATCTAGATCAAGGCATTCACCTAATGAACACCTACACCAAGTTTAAACATTCTACCTCAATTTAAAGGAGGAATTATTGAACTCAGTCAAGATACTGATGTGATAAAACTATACCCCAAGTGTCCTCACTATCACTAAATTAGAAATAAAGTTATCATGTCCCAAAGCATCAACTAATGCTCATCTTCAAACTCCATCAAAGCATTGACCTAATCCAAGTTTTAACATTCTAGCTCAATTAGAAGGAAAGTTATTGTGTCCCAAAAAGTGTGACGGACGGACGGACAGACAGACGAACCCATTTTAATAGTCCCCTGCTAGTTCATAAAACATTTGCAAACAAAATAAAGACCTGCAATAAGAAGATTTAGCTCTTATATTCATCTGTAATTAGTGATTGTCCAATTTGTATAAAACAAAGTTCATAATTGCTCCATGGTACAACTTTGACCAATCTACATGTCCGAGTAACCTAATACCATATTATTCTTCGCAAATATGCAATCAGAGATTGTAAGCATTATGAAAATGTGTACCATTATAGTTAGTCCTTACTGGGAAATTGTCTGACT